AGTCGTGATGACAGATGCACTCGCAAAGAGACTCCCCCCAGGTGGTGGGGGGGGGGGGCCCAGATGACAGCAGCACTAGGTGGCTGTGTGTGTGTGTTCCTTCCTCAGTCCTTCTCAACCCAACTTCCACTGTGATCCATGTGTCTGTCGCTTCTGTTCGGACCTGGGTTGTTGTTCACAGAACATGTGTTTGGTGTTACATTGAGGGGCGGTGTTCCCAGGCGACTGGAAGTGCTGTAGAACTGGGCAGCTGGATTGATGCATGTTTGGAAAGCAGATGTTGGAACATTACAGCTTGAGTTCCTGACACCGTAATTAGATGATTGATACAATGTCTGAAAAATGCTAAGAACACACTGCTGTGCCGAGTGAGTGAAGCAGGCTCATTGGAGTTCTATTTATACAAAATTCTGAGGGTAGAAGGAAAAATGATTGGTTCAGGGAGATAACCAATCAGATTGGAGATGAGGTGGGTCCAAGAAACTAGAGGAGGCAGTGCCAACCAATCAAATGTCTTGGTTCTGCCTCCTCTAGTTGCTTGGATCCACCTCCTCTACAATCTTATTGGTTATCTCCCTGAACCAATCATTGTTCCTTCTGCCCTCAGAACATTTTTATTCAAGTAAAACTCCCACGAGCAGGACGACGATGTGATTACATGATGCGCAGGGACTTGAAGACTCCTGATTGGCAGTTGCCAGGTAGGATTCCATCTATGTGTGCTGCTCTATCTCTCCCGAGCGCTAGCCACTGATGTTGAAGGCCTGGGGTTGTGTGGTCTGACTTGTCTACACTAATCAAGGACTGCGGCAGCTGACTCGGTAGCGGTGTCTATGTTTAAGTCCTCATTTCCCCATATGTTCTGACATTCACATGTGCTCGCGTTGTCAACACATGTGTTGTTCACTGAAAAAACTCATCTGTGATATACACGGGTACATGATTCAATTTTTTAAATGAATACTTAGCTTTAATCAGATGTTTTGTTTTTAAATATTTAACTGAAGCTATTGAAGGGCCCGTCAGCAGCTGCTCCGGTGATGAGATTTGAGCTCCTCCTCGTACCCTCAGGCTCAGCAGTACCACACGGCCTCTGTGTATCATGATTTTGGGCTCCTCTGCACCTCAGTTCATTTAATATCTGAGATTTCCAGGTGGTCGAGCACGGTGGCCTTTTGGGCAACACACATCTGTGTGTAACAGTTGTAGGTGACGTCTGGAATGTTGGTAAAAGAGTTAGTAGAGTTAGTCCTCATGGAAGTTCAGAGCTGCCTTTGAGAAAGGCCACTCCTATTAAGTGATGTTTCATTTGCCATCTACACAAGTACAGGTACGTTGGAGTGATACTCTTCACATACTCTATCGTGTTATCCTTTGAGAGATACACAAGAGCTTCAGGGGTCCAAGCAAGGGTCAAGCCATTTATCTGGCACCCCAGGAGCATTTGGGGGGAATTCGGGGGTTTGCTCAAGTGGCCAATAAATATCTAGTCAAGGAATTCTTGAAGAAAATCAATGTGACTTTGACTGAAGTGGTAGAATAGGGTTGTTCGTGTCAGGAAGTAAAGATTGTTTATTGTGGAGACATGAGGTTCAGTTCAAACAGGTCCATTAGGTCTCACATCCTGCAAAATGAATGAATTCTCCCACAATCCCTTAATAACCTTGCCCAGATGTAGTCGGTTCTCCAACAGCTCAAGACCAAAGATGCTGCGAATTCCTCTACATCCTTACATCTGGCCAGCAAAACGGTTGACTTGTCTCAAGGACTCTTTGGCCTCGCTGTCAGTCATGCACGCTAATGACGGGTTTATCCGATTTGAGCTTTTGGATGTTCCGTAAACAGCATTCTGCCACCTCAGTGATGCATTTCCACTGTAAGATTTTTTTTGGGGGGTTTGACTGTGAGAGCAGCCATCTTTATTCAATTATAGCATCAATGGGAACTTTGTCAAGCGACACCAATAAAAGGTGATGGTGAATGGGCCATGCACCATGTGTACATTTCTATGGACAGATCTGTAACAATGACTAATTTCAAATTGGTTGCAAGAATAGATGATGTGAATGTGTAGGCTGGTTGGTTGAGGTATTCTATATCAGTGATGATGAATCCTTGTCAAATAAAGCCGTCATTCAAATCCTTACTCAGAGGTGTCAGAGACTAATCTGTTGTAGACGTTTTCTTAAAATACAACTTTGCTGAAACGTCAAGGGCCAGCATCACCAGGACCAAATTTAAGGCACCACAGAGTGAGTTGTTATGCTTCATACCAATAGTCTGCTGCTTAATCATTTTGGCCAGACCATCAACTGTTATGACTCCTTAAGCATCTCTCTCATGTTTACCTTACAGTCTGGAAGCTTTGGTATGGTGGAGAACTTGGTCTGCCAAATGCACCAATGCCTGACTTATTTTATTTGGATGGTTGGTCGACATCTTGGTGTGTACTACAGGAACTGCACCAGGCCACTGTCGGGTCATTCCCCATAGACCTACATGCCTCAAACGGGCCAGTTGTACCTCTCCTCTGTTTTCTGGTTAGCAAAAAATGCTCGCTGTGTAACCAGCCTGGTGTTTTTCATTCAGTCAGCATGCAATCTTTTCTAGTGAGGGAGGTTTGAGGCAAGGAGACTCAACCACAAGTTAGCTTTATGGAGAGGGAAGCCTGGGAAGAGACTGTCAGACGAAACGCTCCTGTGCACAGTTCAGGAGGAAATGCCAGTGTCCAATTGATTTAATAAAGACTTTCAACCTGATATTGCTGTTTTTGGGCATACCTAAGGAAGCGGCTCAAGCGCTGGAAGTAATACCTTTTGTGACTGGAGCTAAGAGAGACCATCTTGACAGTCCGGAATGTGAGTTGGAGTATAAAGACCTACTTTATTTCCTACGTGTTCCCGTGCTGGAATTTGTGATACATATGGAATCAATCCTACAAGCTGTCGAGCTGTATTAATTTGTATTTTCCACCTGAAATTAGTCGCAGCCGCCGTGATTGTGCATTCCCTCCTTTTATTCCTGTATTTAATCCATAAGTGTGATTTGTGTTGGTTATTCAGAGACGTACTGAGCGCAGGGATTAGCTGAACGACTTTCACGCAGAATGTCTTCAGATAAATTGCTATAGGAGACTTTAAGGTGTCCATTCTTGGATGGAGGGATTTTACGGGACCACTAGTGCGGAAAAAAATGGGGGGGGGGGGCATGGTCTCATATGGTCTCCTTATTAGCTGTGATCTCTGCCGGCACATATGAAACGGTTGAAAAGCTTCGGAGAAAACAAGTGCAGCGAGATTAAGGAAGTCAACTAGAACTGAAGTGAACTGAACAAAAAGTGAAAAAAATACTTTCAGCTTTGTCAAAAGGTGGAGGGTTTTGGTAGAAAGGGAGACGGGGGTCATCGGGGGTCCTGGCTCAATCTCAGTCACCTCTCCGGGTAGTAGGACTAAAAATCAGTATAATTATATATAAAATGGACTGACTGAGAAGTAAACATCAAGGTATAAGTTACAGTAGAGGAGTGCGTGTGTGTCTCGGTGAGTGTGTGTGTGTGTCTCAGTGTGTGTGTGTGTCTCTCTCTGGGTGTGTGTATCTCTGGGTGTGTGTGTATGTGTGTCTCTGGGTGTGTGTGTATGTGTATGTGTGTATGTGTGTGTGTGTGTGTGTGTGTGTGTGTGTGAGAGAGAGAGAGAGAGAGAGAGAAAGAGAATCTCTTTTACCGACATCATACTTTATAGTAAACATTAGTAAACAATGCATGGCCAGTATGGTTTAGCTTTTTATTTTTCTTTATTCTGTAGCTGCATGGTATTTAGTAAATGGAGTATTGTAATTTGGTTTGGAGAACTCTCTGCTCGTGCCCGTTGGCTTCCTGTGGTCAGAATCCAAGTGGAATGAACATTTCAGATCCAAATGTATTATATTATAAGGAAATGAACACTTTGGGATGGTTGAGTGCACTCAAGGGCAAAAACATTTATTTTTTCATTTATATTTAAATTGCTTCACAGTAACGAAAAAATGTTTTACATTTTTAGCTTTTTTGTAACCACTTGTTATAACATGGGGTAACTGTATGATGTGAATGGATATGAGGTTTTTTTGTGTGTGTGTTGAACCGGTGCCAGCCAAAGTCGTCATTTCAAAGAAGTCATTTGAATTTCCTGGTACCTTTAGCCTCCTCTGTGAAGGTTTAGCCTGACATACTTAAGAAAAAAATGGTTACATGAATGAAGTAATCAATACTAATTGTTTGGATAATACATTAAATCGATGTTTCCTAATCCGGTTCTCGCGGACCCACAGCCGGTCCACGTTTTTGCTCCCTCCCAGCTCCTACCAGGGAACTTGCAGGGAGCTCAGCGGGAGCAAAAATGTGGACCGGCTGTGGGTCCCCGAGGACCGGATTGGGAAATATTGCACTGGAAGGATGCTTTATGATATGGGAGTGAAGGAGATAAATATTGGAAGGAAGTGTCACATCACATGAACTTCTCCAGCCTTCATAATGTCATCAGAGACATCATGACGTGGTGTATGTGTATGGCGCAGGTCAGAGGGTACCCCGAACCTCACGTGACGTGGCACAGAGATGGGAAGCCGCTGACGCCGGGAGACCACCACGCCATGGAGCAGAGTCCTCGGGGGGGGTTCAGCCTGGTGGTCCGGACCGTCCGGGAGGAGGACGCCGGCCGCTATACCTGCCACGCCGCCAACGATGCCGGAAGCTGTCAGGTCACCGTGGAGCTCACTGCGGAAGGTGGGATCCCTCTAACACCCATGGAGTCTCTCCATCATGGTGCCTCATATTGTTCCTTCTAAGCTGCTTTAACAGTCTTATGAGGAAAGGAGTAAGTGCTTGTTTAACCAGATACTTTACACACACTTGCTCTTGTACAGGGCTTTCTTATTTGGTACAGTATTACTTGAGATTTGGCCTCTAAGTATTCAACCATAGCAAGACAAAGAGTGCATTCTTATACAGAACCAAACAATAGCACTTTGGTATGGTGGAGTTTTTGAGCTGTTATCATCTGCCCGCTGTTTGAGGTTTGAGCCGTTTGTTGTCAAAAACATAGTTTGCTCTTGGCTGTAGTGACTGAAGTTTAAAATAGAAAGATTTTTTTCTTACATCATTGTCGCATTTTTGCGATAAGAGCACTGAATTGGGTTCAGCCAAAAATAATATTATTGTTATCAAACTGATTAAATTTTAACAGTGCCGATGTAAGCTGGGTCAGTTAAATAGATAAAAAAATAATAATAATAATAAAATAAATATTTTGCCCGTGAAAGTCAGAATCACAGTTCTTGTCCAACAAAATGCTGTTGAGATCTTTTTTTATAGAGAACATGTTCTGCATTGTGGAACCAGTCACGCTGGCTTTTTAGCACCTTGCTCTGGCTGCAGCAGGCAGGTTTGCTAATCCCTCTTCTGCAATAAAGACCGGAAACCTGGAACGCAGGTCAGCCGTGGAGCTGTGTTAAGCTCAGAGGGGGATTTAGACCGAGATTGGTCGGACTATAGGCAGCCAATGGCACATTCTGAAAGCCTCTTTGCTATCTTGTAGTTACAAACAGCAGATACTTTAGCCTCTTTGTCTCGTCCAATTCTGTAAGCATTTCAATAACTGTTCAATATCTCAGTGGTGTCTTGCAAACAGTGGAGTACCACCGTGACGAGATCTACAACCCGACAGGCCCCAGGATTCCGTTTATTACTTTACCTTTGCGGGTGGTGCTGTTAATGAAAGCCCCTGAGCAAGGTTTGCCCCAATCGGCCAGTTAAACTCCAGCTGCAGAAATTTGTTACAGCATTAATAGTATCTGCCACGCAAATGAATAATGTAGTTCAACAGCAGGGAAGAAGGTTTGTGTTTCTCTTCCTACTTAATGGATTAACCAGTGGAATGCAGCCTGCTGTCAAACAGTCCATTTTTTTTCTTAGAATCGTGATACAGCCCCTATATTTTCAAGGCCATCCAGTTACGACCATTCCCCCATTTTGATTTCCCAGCAGGGATCTGCCTACTTTCAGAGTGTATAAACTCGGGTGGTTTGTCAGTATGGCCAACCGTCATCTGCTGTCTAGCTGGATTGATTGATTTTTTTTTTGTTTTTGTCTAAGTTAGTGGGAGTTTTTGTTTTGACAGCATTACTGATAGTGTTAGAAAGTTCAGGGTCAGAAAGTACAAGAAAGGGTTTTGTTTCAACCAACCAGTTGAGCACTCTGTGACAGTGACTCTTTATATTCAACTGGTTGGTTAAAACAAAATCTTGGTCTGGATTTGTACTTTCTGGACCCGAACTTTCCACCTCTATCCATAACGGGATACTTTGTGAGTAACTTCCCCAACACTGATTACAGACAGGCTGCACCTCTGCAATGGCAGTCTGACACTGGCCCTTCACTGTTTTTTTTGCAGTAAGAACAAATCGATGTGTCTGGCTTTTTCACTGAGGCTGCGCTGCATCAGAGCAAAAACATCCAGACTGAAAAACAGCTTCCATCCAACTGCACTCAGACTGTTAAACTGCTCCATCACCCAAATACATTTTGCACTGTAATTACATGCCTTGATGTCACTGTTACTTACCCTTGCAACTTGCACTGATCTCTTTAAATTGCTGCTGCCGTACAATTGTGCAATATTGTACATTACTTTTTAAAAACATTTTACTTCAGAGGTTTTTATCTTAGCTCATTCTATGTTTACCTAGTTCAGATATTTTTATTCTAGTATTTTATTATTATTTTATCTATTTATTGTTTAGTAGCACGCTGCACGTACCGAGACTTGAGAAACTGTGTTTCGTTCCTATCATGTCAAGTGGTTTGAATGACAATAAAGCTGATTCTGACAAGAGCATCCAGGCCCTGCAGTGGATGCTCTTGGTTAATGCACTGAATGGCTAAAGTCTGAAAGCAACACACTGGAGCGAGAACCAAAAGCTTAGTGGCGTTGGTTTACCGTTTAAGTCAGGCACAAAAACCACAGGCACTCAGCAGCAGTGCTCTAGATGAAGGTCAGGCTCTTTGTTCTTCCTGTTATAGCCCTTTCTTGCTTTTACAGTGTGAGAATTAGCTGCCCAGTCTGCCTGGTTTATTATCATACATTTTCGTATTTCTCACAACAAACAGGAAATGCAGAGAGAAGATTTTACCTTCCGTCCTCCACTAGGACAGCAGGGTGAGTCGGCGTTTTTAACTTTTGTCCCAGACATTCTTGTGCTAATCTTTTGATCTTAATTATGCCAGATTTGTATCACATGGCTTACATCTGTTTCCCCCCGATTCATCAGAGAATGTAGAAAACCGTAATTCTTAGGATTCCTTTCTTGCATGCCTTTGTTGAGTACTTACTGATTTATTGATTATTTGCGTGTCCAGTTCGTATGTTTTTAATTCCATGTTGAAATTATGGTTGCTGGTCATATTCTGTATAAACATTGTCAGGTTATTGATGATTTCTCATTTTTAAGAAACTGGTAGCATACCCTTCCTGTAAACTTTGATTCACATGTATTGTCTTAAGGTTTGTTTTGATCCTTTCCTTCTCTTCCTCTAGGGGGCGAACTCCTGTTGTGGAGAACCGGCCCAGTATCTGGGGCGAAAGCCCACCAAAGTTCGTGACAAAGCCCTCACGCCTCTACCTCAGGGCGGGCCAGAGCGGCAAGTTGTCGGCCAAGATCACAGGCCGTCCCCAGCCTCAGGTCCTGTGGCTCAGGGTGCGTCTGAGCCGAGGGGGCGGAGTTACGGGCCGGCACGTGAGCGCCAGTCATGGTGACTCCGCCCCCTTTGCTAACCTGGCTTGGGCCGTCCTATTCAGGGGGAGGCGGAGCTGCCATCTGGTGGGAGGTTCAGCACGTTCGAGAGGCAGGGGGTCCACTACCTGGAAGTCACCGATGCACGAGCGGAGGATGCAGGGACGTACACGTGCTTCGTGGTCAACAGTGCCGGCAAGGCCACAGCAACAGCAGAGCTGATGGTTCAAGGTCAGACTGAGCTTAGAACCCAGAAAAACACCCAGTCATCCTACTATCCTGTAAAAAGCAGTAAATACTATTCACATCTGTTTGCAGCATGAAGGCTGAGTCTCCATTTTCTCTGTTAAACAACATTATTTTAGCAGCCTTGTCTTAAAACGGGATCCTTGTGGTGAAGGGCATTTTTTATTACAGCTGGTTTAGCGGGCTAAATAAAATTGCTGTTTTTTTTAGGTTCCTGTACTGAAGGAGACACGTAAGTCAAAACATTTCCCTGTGTTTTACATTATCGCATGTCATATTTTGTCACCCAGACTCTACGCTGCATAATTTCCTTGACAGGGAGGTCTACTTTATGGGATTTCTACCATGTTTTATTTTTGTTAATTTTTTTAGCCAACACAGCAGCAGTCTGGCCGCTTCTGCTGCCGTCGTGCCAAAATCAACCGAACCGCTAACAGTGAAGCACACAAGCCGCGGGCCAGTACGCGGTGACCCGCCAACTGGGATGGTGGAGAGGAAGGAGACTGCCGAGGGGCTGAGGACCGGCGTACAACCCCAGAAACTTCAATCCGAGGCCATGGTGGAGCATCCCAGCAAGGCCATGGGACTGGGTTCGAGTCAGCCGCCTAGGCATGGCTCCGATTCTCGAACCGGGAGGAAGTTCGAGCGGGCAGGGGACAGCGCTGAGCGCATGCTCCCGGAAACCACATCCCTAGAGCCTGCCAGGGAGGTCCGGAGGTTCGGAAGGGACAGCAGGCTTGACGAGACCAGAAGCCCACCCCTGTTTGACCTTCAGCCACAGAGTCAGGAAGTCTTGGAGGGGTCAAAGGTCACGTTCAGATGCCAAGGTAACTGACGTTCCGCCTTTGAGTTATGCTGTTGTTAAGCTCTTTGAAATGGCTCTGAACGCAGACATAGCGTTCCACCTTTCTTTGTTCCTTCGGTGAACCCAGAACTCGGAATGATGCCATCGCTAAGTTTGATGTTGTTTAATGTCTGACTGGTGACATTTGTCCTAACGAGCTTCACTGATCTTCTGTTCATGGGAATTTGAGGTTTGCATGATTTAAGACATCACTGATTTTTTTTTTTCCTCATAGGGAAATGTTTTTTTGTGGAAAGTATTTCTGTGGCCCCAAAGCAGTTGCGTTTGCCACTGCTGCTCTACAAAAGTCTGCTGCAAGCTTATGATTTTGCCCTTTCAACAGTTGAAGGAATGAAAGAACTTTTCATTGCTCTTTTGTTGAACTTTACAAAGAGAAATCTTGGGTAAAGAGTCTGGCTCCTTAGCAATTGCGCCACCTTATGGTTACTAAGATGTGAGACGATGTTTTTTTGCTGCACGCAGTTTCAGGTGTTCCAGCTCCGACCCTGAGCTGGATCAAAGACGGGCTGGTTCTGAGAGGAGGCGCGGGACTCCGAATCCAGCAGGAAGGGAACCTGCACCTCCTCTGCCTGGACAGAGTTCGCAAGGAGGACAGCGGGAGCTTTGGCTGCGCGGCGACGAACAGCAAGGGACAGGCCTCTGCAACCTGGACACTCCTTGTCAAGAGTAAGTGGGTGGGGGGCGGGGATTGTCATGCTCCTCCTATTCAAGCACAATTTTTAACCAATGAGTGGAGAAATAAGGGGCTGAGTCATGCTGTCAATCACTTTCCATCGGTTTACTGGTTCTCAGTGAAATAAGGCAAGCTTTTGAACTAAAGACTGGAGAAATTAGACACTCAGGGTAGTGGAGTTACCAATAAACGCCTAACATTGGTTAACTTAACAGTTCTCAGTGGGATAAACCAGACAGCCATTTGAGATTTTTTTCTGTTGCATTTTTGATTATATCAGTTCAGTGTTCATGCAGTAATTTGCATGTATTAATATGCAGATGTGTTACAGTGACACATTTGCACAGCCTCCACAACATACATGTAAATGACAAATAACATTATTATTTTATTGGCTAGAACAATTTTTTTTCGCCATTAGTGCAGCTGGGTATTGCACTGGAATAGGTCAGCTTGGGCGACTTCGTCAACATGAGCAGCAGATCTTGGATGGTAAAGTGAGGATTGTGGGAGACGGCAGTAAAGGTGGACGTTCTGGACTTGTGAAGATGCTGAGAGTGTAATACTGATAAGGGCTCACAGGTCTGCTTCAGCTTTGACAGACCCACAGTCCATCAGGCTGTCAGCATCCATAACACCGACTAACCTCTCGTGTCTGGGGGAGTTTGGGAAGCTGTAGGCTGACTCTTGGTCGGTATGGACCCCAAGCTGCATTCAGATGGTTATGCTTCTTGCTTAGCTAAAGACAAAAACGAGGTGGGACCTCGATGACATCCCAACCAGGAATGCATCATTGTATCCTTATGGGAGGTACCTCTGCAGAATTTTCTGCAGAATTTGCCCCTTTCAGAATGTAGAAGGACATCTGCTAAGTGAATAGTAGTCATTTTTTAACTCGGAGGGTGTGTCTTTTGTCCTGACCTTGGGCTAGACGAGGCTGTAATCGGTTCCCTGTGTGTGGGAAGTTGCAGGGACTCATGAAAGAGGTGCATTATCTCCTCAGCTGCAGGTGCTGTTAGCGCAGCGAGCCAGTGTTATTTTTGTCAGGCCCTGGAAACGCTGTCACGCATTGGGAAGAGCGGGGCGATGGACGGTGATTGTTTTGTGCGCCGATGTTGAAATGACAGCAGCGGAGAGGTAAATTGTTTTGGGGGAAGCGGGGGGAGGGGGGCACACCCTAGCGTTTAGTTTGGGTAGGGTAGACAGAGTGTGTTTGTTAGCAGCTTTCTTCTGTGCTGCCCATTGAGCCTTTGTCAGGCTGAAAGTACAAGGGGACTTTTGTTCTAGGCGATTAACCACGTTCATATTGTTCCTTTTGGTTTATATAACGTGTTTTCTGTGAAACACGTGGGAGGATCGCGCTCTCAGAGGTGACTCAAGAATGAAGCGGCACATTTGAGGCGGTCCAACTGCTCCATCTACTGGTGGAAATTGGTAATGCTGATTATTAAAGCACTGTTGTAAAGCTCTTCCGCTAATCGCCTTAAATACCCACAGGGGCTTATAAAAGCAGCACAGCACAACAAACTAGTAAATAAAAACAAAAGTAGTTCATTAATAGTAAATATTGACATAATCGAGGCACTCTGAAGACATTAAATTTAGCCTGAATAAATTATCTGAAAGTGTTCAGCTGAAGATTAAGCACAAAGAATGGCCAGACAATATTAGTCCAACTGCAAGATGTGAAGTTTTTTTTATGTACAGCTTTTATTTTGTCTCTGTCCCATGTGATAACAGACTGGGCAAACCGCGTCTGGCTTCATCTGATAAGCACGGCTTTTCCTGCCGCACCCACCGGTAAAAGATCATAAAGACGCAGTTACCCGCTGCCGTCTCTTTACTCGTGACTCACCAACAGGGATGGCATCCGACTGACAGATGATCGGAAAGATGAGACGCAGCCGCCGAGCCGCTGCGCGATCAGCCGCCGCCGTTACAGGCTGAATAATGAGGCGGCATCGCGACAGAAATCACTGAAGTACTACAAATCAAACATGCTATATGAGCAGTAATCTGTCGGTGATATTTTCATACGCTGGCAAAATGCCTCAGCCAGCCTGCTTTCACAGAGTTTGCATAATGTCTACGTGAATGGCTTTGCAGCACCAAGGTACAGCTCCAGGTGTTCCACGAGGGGCGTTTTCAAGTATATATTATTGCGAAACCTTATAAGTGTATTGCTGTAGTTAAATGGTCAATAATCATGCATGATTTTGTACAAAAGTGTCCAAACAGCTTTTTCAAAAGTGTTGCATTTCACAGGACCTGTTTCCTTTTGGGTTGCTGGTGTACAGTATATGGATTTTATTCGGTAATTTCTGTGAAAATACAGTAAAACGAAGTGGCAGAGGAGCCTTCTGCTGGCGGGTGTTCTTTACAGAATTGCATGATGAGGCACTCAGAGGCATTTTCTTTGTTGTCCTGTAATATAAAAAAAAAAACGCCAGGAGCTCCATCCTCCATTTCCCTCCCAAAACAACAGACATAGCAAGACAGTGCATATATAGTACAGTGCAGCTGGCAGAGGGTAGCTAGAAACATGCCTTGACAATGGAAAGAGGCTACATTTACATTACATTCAGCATATTCCTATTTGACAGACACCTTTGTTAAAAGCAGTGAACAAGTATCACAGGTGTACAGTCTGTCAAGGAGTCAGCTTAGGCACAATTTCCTCTAGGCTAACTATAGGGGGGCTTATTCCGATCCCCCCTCCAGTCGGTGCTGCTCACTGCTGTCCTTCCCCTTAAACCGACGGGACGTCACCCCGAAGGCCTAACCTGCACTGATTTACCTCACTGCCACCACCATCCAATAGCATTTCATTCAGCCACATCCTTTTCTCCGCAGGCATCAGAGCGGACGGCCGGGCTCCGGTCTTCAGCAGTGTGCTGCAGGAACGCACGGTGAACGAGGGCCAGGACTTCGTCCTGCGGTGCTCCGTACAGGGCAGGCCTTCACCGCGTATCGCCTGGGTCCTGAATGGTGAGGGGCTCTCGCAGTGCTGTCACCACACCAGTAGAGGGCAGTGAAGTCCATGATCTTATTCAGTTTCCGTTAATATAATTTCGTCTTCTTGGCAAAAGTACGCAGTGGTCTGAATCAGCATTTTCTAAAAGGACAGGATACTTTAATTGTTACTAGCGGAGTATTTGAAGGTATTGGGCGTAGACTGAAAAGCATTTCTAGGTTTGAGACTCCACTTAATCCCAACCATCCATCCATTCATCCATTTCCCGTGCCGTGTGCTTTAAATTAAATTTAGATTTAAATTAACCAAATGAGAGCCATCGCCTTGGAGCCAAGTGTGAGACACCAGAAATCTTCCAAGCTTCTGTTTGACTGTCTCGCGTCTGGGGTGTCCAAATATCTGTCCTGTAGTGTACTAGAGAATTGGGTTAAAAGTCTCTTTCCCGTGAAACAATGAGCACTTTTGTGTAGCAGGTTTTGTCAGTCAAATGCTACAATTATGTTTTTGCTTCATATTTCATTTCCTACCAGGAGACAAATGACTTTAGTAATGTTGGTGGCCAATCTTTGCACTGAATGGATGTTTGATATGTGCTGTTCACAGCACTTTAAAACTGATTGCTTTCCAAATGCACATTTCAGCTATACATTGTATAAGTATTATAAGTAACAGACTATTTACATTGAATTCAGAATATTTTGCAAAACCCCCAGTCCCTAACTAGGAAATTAATGGATGGATTAAAAAATACTTTTGTTTATACTTTAAAAGAACAGAACGGGGAAAAAAGAATGCGATAAAAAAAAAAAAAACAGGAAAGAGAAACTTCCGGAAGTTCCAGAGCCACTGAGGTTGGACATCTGTTTGTAGGCTGGTGTACTTTTACCTTAAAAGACAAACAAACCCCGGAGAGGCTGATGTGAGGGCATGGCGGACATCCCCCGGGGGCCGGAAGGGGGTGTTGCTCCCGTCTGGGGGAGCGGCTCAGTGCCTGTGTATCCCAGGCCCGCGTGGGCGCGCCACTGAGATCGGAGATCAGCTAGCACTGCCTCACAGGCAGGGAAACTCACTGCTCCAACAAATATGAGGCCTTAGAACCATATAAAGGAAAGGCATGCCTTGCCCCCCCCCTCAGCTTGGCTTGCGGTTACACCAGGAGAGGAGACCTGCAAAGCTGTCCCTGACATGCACCATGTGATCAACAAAAATCTACCACCAGGCAAAGAGAGCGTGACCCCTCCCCCACATGTCTGCGTCGATGCCTTTCTTGGGTTGGGGTACTGCGGGAGCATAGAGGCCTTCTAGTGAACCTCATTGCAGCATAGAAGCATGAGGTGTCTTCTCTGTTTAATGCATATATGCACTTCAGTACTGTGTATGGAGAATGGTAGAAGATCCTAAAGATTGAACAAAGCACTTTTATAAATATTAGCTATCTATAAAAGAAGAAATGTACATTTTTGGATATTCATAAGGCTGTTGTTCAAGCGGTTGTTCCTTGGTATGTGTGTAACTGTGTGTCTTTGTGTATGGTGACTCTTATTGTGTGTGCGTGCATGCATGTGTGTGTGTGTGGATTATGTTTATATTACATTGTGGGGACCAAATGTTCCCCAAAATGTGATGAAAACCTATTATTTTAACGTTGTTGGGACCATATTTCATGTCCTCACGATGATCTGTGAATGCAATCAAAAAAATAAAAATGCGTGTGTGTGTGTGTGTGTGTGTGGATAGTCTTCGGTCTGTGTGTGGGCTGATCCGGCATCAGTGGTCCTTGGGGGTTCCTCTCTTCGTAGGAGTGTGAAATTCCTCCATGTTTGCACACGTGTGCCGGTGACTTCTCTCGGTGTGTGACCCCTGTGCTGCTTCCTCTCAGATCAGCCCCTCACTCTGGCCTGCTGCTCATACGAGGCCGGAGATGCCCGTCTGGAGGTGCGGGGTGCCCAGCTTGGGGATGCTGGCTCCTACGTGTGTGTGGCTGAGAACACTCATGGGAGGGCTGCCTGTTCGGCCGCGGTGATTGTCAGAGGTGGGTGCTGCGCTCGCTGTTACCCCCCCATCCTGCCCCCGCTGCACTCATAACGTGAGTCTCATTCTGCCATTAATCACGGCTCAGTCTGCAAAACATCTGCTCCTTGCTAAGCACTATGACCTCAGGCCTCAGGTCTCACGGTGCAGATGTTAACGGTTAATGAGTTTGCAGCAACGCCAGATGTTTACACTTCGCATTCTAGACAGACCGGTTTAAAGTAAACTAATAAATAAACCCAGTGTGCACAGTGGCCAGGTGGTTAGTTCTGGTATCTCACACCTCTGGGGTTGTGTGTGAAGTTTTTCAGGGGTTTTCTCCTTACCCCTCCAAGAGGCGGTTATGGAGAATGAATGGATGCAAATAAAACAGGCGTATTAGCAAGTGTACAGCTGTGTGCCTGCAGGCACCTCCTCAGTGCTGAGGATCCCTCAGTGGGTGCAGGCAGCAGAGTACTATGCCACGTTCGTACCTGGCCATCCTTCAACCGTCCCATAACTGTCCTTACACCCATCCCATAACCGTCCTGCAGCCGCCCAATAACTGTCCCGCAGTCGTCCCATTACTGTCCCTCAGCCAAACCCATAACTGTCCTTGCAGCCATCCCTATAGCCATCCCATAACTGTCCCTCAGTCATCCCATAACTGTCCTTGCAGCCATCCCTAAAGCCATCCCATAACTGTCCCTCAGTTATCCCATAATTGTCCTTGCAGCCATCCCTATAGCAATCCCATAACTGTCCCTCAGTCGTCCCATAACTGACCCTACAGCCGTCCCTCAGCCATCCTGCACCTTCTCCTCATCTTTCCACCCAGTCGTATTTTTCACTGGGCTCCAAGTCATGTTGCACTGTTGACTTTTAGCTAAATCATAAAAGTTCATGGGAGAGTGTGTAAAAAGACAAGCGCACTTTTGAATTAATCATATTCAGTATGAGTAAAAGCTTCCAGGTGACATAGAAGGGGTGGAATATGAGTTTAGAGTGGCAGGATGAGCTCTCCCCAGAATGTTCGCTTCAGTTTCGGCCACTATGGGGCGCCATTGAGGGGCCCGCTCAGCCCGGCAACGGAGAAGAGCAAGGCAAACGTACCGAACGTCACGTGGGCAGAGGACCCCTTAAACATCTCTACTGAGCCAACAGCACCCATAATCCTAAGATAAATCTACGGTCAATATGCGAAGTGTATATCCCATTGAAATTACATGGTTTTATGATGTGAAGCTGGAAATCAAGAAAAATCACGTCAGCCATTTTTACTTCTTTATTGTGATCTGGGAAATAGCAAGATTCAAGAGAAAAGCAAATGATTACTAGGGGAAATTTAAAATTTAAAGCACATCACCTCTTCAAATAATACCTTGTGGAAACACATTTTACATTAATTACAGTAGTAAGTCTTTGTGAAGCAGTCTCTGGACATCTTTACTAGGCAGTTTTATCCCACTCTTTCTTGCAAGCTCCTTCCAATTGCCAAGGAATCTCCTGTGTAGGTCATTGCATAGATTAATGGGAGTGAGGCCTGGGCTTTGACTGAACCATTCCAAGACATTGACCTTCTTTTTCTAAAACCATTCCTTGGTTGACTTGGATGAGTGCTGTGGGTCATTATTATGTTGGGAGGTGAAATCAGTTAAAAGTGAAGGAAAAGGGGTGGATTAACAGGGCTCTTCTGGCCGCTCGTCCAGTGAGGAGTGTTGGCGTCTGGGGGGAGGGGGTAGCCCGCGGGGACAGTCCTCAGCGCCCGTCTCTGGTGTCCCAAAGGGCAGGGGCAGCACAAACAGTGGCAGTGATATTTTCCATACCGGCCCTCCCAGGCGCTAGAAAAAGCTGCCATATTTGGGCCAAAGAAAAAACCTTCCTTTGTATACAGAAGTCATGCTTTCACATTGTGGCTGCCTTCAAAATACAAATTGTGTTATAAAGATAGCTGAAGGAACTCAACCTTTCATTGCGTTCACTGGCTTTCGCATTCAATCCCCAAGGCTGGCTATTAATCATCGCATGACTGGGCTGGTATTGACTGTTCTGCATGTTTTGTATGTGTCATACCAACATTTTTTCTAGGTGACTTTGATGCCACTGAAGGCAAATTATGCTATCAGGCTCATCAAACTTTGTCTTTAGAAGTTTTCATGCTCGCTGGGTGTGTGGAGTCACCCCTGCCGTGTGTAACGTCTCAGCCGACACGGACATTTAAGCGCGCGTCTCCGTGATGAAGAGACCGGGCTTTTGACGTAACCGGCGTGTAAACACTGTTAACCGACCAGGCCCGCCTGCGCTGTTTAATTTGCACATGTGGAAACATCTTCGAGAAGTCTTGGATCTGCCCTGCGGCATGCTGGGTATGTATACAGACGACGGGCCTGTGTTTAGAACCACGCGGAATCGTCCCTGGACGCCCGCCTGCCCGGGCCCTGCAGTTTGGAGTGCTTAGATTTATGGCTTCTGGAGAGACGACGTATAACAAAATCCCTATATGGTAAAGAGGCATGGGCGAGCCAGGCCACTGACATTCACTGACTTTCTCAGGGTCCTGTGAACCGGGGGATGGGGGGACCAGTTCAAACACGCATTAAATCTACGGTAAACCAAATCTTTTTATACAGTAGATATTTCTCATTTCCTTTTTTTTGTCTTTTGTTTACCTAACCGTGATATGATAAGAAGATAGAAGTTTCTGAGGACCTGTTATACTACATATTTAAGCAAAAAAATCGTGCTGTTTCCACGCCAATGGTTCCTTTCAGATCCACCTTGTCGAATTCCGCACACTCGTTGGGATCTTGACCTCCTTCGTAAAGTGAGAACGTACCTTTGTAATTACCTTTAACAGCACTGAAGAAAAAAAGGGCTTTGGACCCAAGTTCACCAGCGCTGGGCCCGGGACATGGTATTTATATAGCGAGAGACATAGTTTGAGAACCATTTCACGCGAGGGCTTTGCGTGCTGGCTCTCCAGCCTGTATAATTTTCCATAGAGCATTTCTCATCCTGGACGTCTCACCGCTTCTTGGCAATAGATGGAAATGAGTGGACAGCTCCATAGATGAGGCCAGTAGATGTAAAAGGCAATGCCAGCCAGTGTTTTTCTTTCTGATATGCTGTAGGGCATGTGTGACGGGGGACTCTCTTCAGAGGCTGTGTTTCTTGAGTGGCTGCCTTTAATTGCGTGACGGCCCTGCTGGACGTACCCCTATCAAAAGGCACTTTCAGTGCGGTGGCGTTCATGGCTGGACCTGGGAAGGATTCCTGAAATCCTGCAGTCACCACCCCATCACCCTATTGCCTGAACGTTAAGGACACACTCTATGAAACTCAACAATTACCCAAGTGGTGCTCCCATAGAATTCAGGTTGAATGGCATTTTACATTCAAACTTCACCTTCAAAAAATGTCTAGGGGACAAAATTTGAAGTTTGATCTCTGCAAAACTCACAAAATGTTCTGATTAATATACCCTGAGACCATGAAGTTATCCTTCAAAATAGTGTTTTTTTTTTGTTAAGTAATACTTCTAACCATTATATTCTGCTGACTGTTCAAGGTTTATTCATTTTAATGGGTCGTTCGGTGCCTTTGCTGATTGGCGGAATGGCATGTCACTCTTTGATCCTTGGCCCTCCCACCATGGCAGAATGATGCCAGTTATCACCGCACCACAAAAGGAGTCAAGATCACAGTAAAAAAAATAAAAAACAACAGTTTCCAGGGAATTCTTTCGTCTGGTTTGGACATGGGTTCCCAGCCAAATTTCTGCATGCCAGTGACTATGGCAGAACGTAGGTCTGACACTAGACTTTCCCACACAAGCTGCTGTCCCAGCCCCCCGCCCAGGGGGAACCGCCAGGGCAGTTTATTTTCACCATGACTTTTGCATTACTGGAAATTAAAAGCTCCTTGAAAACCAGGTTTTAGCGGATAAAAGATCATACTGTAATTGCTTCAAGCATAAACACCACTCAGTAAGCTATTTATCACTCATGTCTGAACTCCCACAGCAATAAAATCAAGGAGGGCTGCTGTTCCATGGTTCCATGTTGTTCTCCGTAGTTTTGGCATAATAATCCTTGTGTGCCCTTTCTCTTCCTAAGAAATACGAAGAAAATGGTTATACAGAAGTACTTGATTTGATGTCATTAAGCCTCCTTGGCATCTGTGATGTGATTCGATGCACATGTATCGGGAAGCAAACCTTAGATCACAGGAAGTTGTGCTGTGTGCTGGCTTTCAGAGAGGAAGACTTCTGAAGGGACGAAGCATGGGAAGGCGAGCGAGGCGAAGAAGCCGCTGGCCCCCGCCTTCCTGAGGGAACTGGCCGACCTGCAGGTGTTGGACGGCAGCCGCGTCTGCATGACGGTGAAGGTGGCAGGTAAGGGTCACGGTTTAGCTACAGGACACCAAGAGTGAGTAGCTCTACAAAGTAGCACAGATGAAGCTGTTATAGGCCCTTTAAATGCTACAGGCATCAGTACAAGAGTTACACGGCTCTGCTACTCGCTTACGGAAATGGTTCCTACTTAAGCCTATTAGTAACTGGGGTTAGTTTATAGACACAACGGTCGACCTTTTATCCCTCAAAGTTACATGTACTGCCCCTAGCTACTCATATACATCCCTATCTTAACCTACAGGTAAAATGATTTACTCCAAGCTACAGATAAAGGGTAAATATGAATGAGAGGCTCTTCTTGCATTACCTGTTACTCTTATCTTGTGACTGCTGGTAAGTCATTCTCCACATGGGGCGCAGAAATGAACATACCTTCACTGGACTCCAGAGATGATTTGTTTGGAACAAAGTATTGTGTGTTCTGCATTATCTCTGGATGTGAGATATGAGCAGAGGATGGATACAGTTATTCTAATTTGGTATTCAAGGTCTGACAAGCTATTTACCGTTATGTGGACAGTATTCCATAGTTTGATTTTTAAATTATGCATCTTGAAGATTTAACATATGTTGTTAAATAGAACGTACGTGTTTTTGCATCTCATCATCATAGTTAGTTTGTCTAAGGTTTAATGTGTGTCTCATTCCTTGACTTTGGTGGTAAAGGACTCAGAGCTATTGCCTGAAATTCTGGAAGGCTACTGGCCATTGTATTCTATAATTGTTCAAATAAATGTTCAGCTATAAAATGGGTATTTTATTTTTTTTGGTGTAAGCATTGTCTATTTAAAAAAGTGGATTATTATATGACTTAAAGGTAAAAATGGCAATATAGATGAGAAGCTTTTTCCTTTAACAAACAAAGGCCTTCGATGTTCACATTCTTGTTTCAGTAACAGATCTGGATTTGCCCTCCAGTGTTTGATCATTTCCCTCCCTTCAAGGGGTGATAGCTGCCGCTACATATTGTGAGGAATTCCATGCATGCTTTCCATTTCCATTAATCTTCATTTCCCTTTAAATGTTTGAGTGTTCGGCCGGGGTTAAAAACACGCTTACACGAAACAGCTGCCGGGCCCTTTCCTTTATTGTCGATTACCCTGGTCTATATTTGGTCTTCCTAATAAATTCTGATAACATCTCTAGAGGAACATGGTGGCGTCTCCAGCTTGCCTGTTTAAACCATGCTGTCCTCTCAGATAGCAGCTCCAAAGCATTCGCACTGTGTACTGGCTGTTCCTTTCACACAAAGGTTCACATTAGGGCAGTGGATTCTATGCCTTTTCTGGATTCCTTGCTCGTCCTAGGGGCAATGAATCTCCTGCATATTTATGTGACATATTTGTTACATATCAGTTTGCTCGTACCTTGAAATATGTCTGCTATATAACTGGAGTTCAGGAATATCAGAAATGCTGCTCTGCAGACTGAATTCAGTCCCAAACCCTAAACCTAACCCTAACCCTAACCCTAACCCTGCCTCATCCACCTGGGATATGAACCATTTGGACATCTGGTTGTGTAACTAATATTTTGTCAATTACACAAACATTGAAACACGTCAAAGGGGTTGAACAGGAACATTGACCATATACTTCAGACAGTTTATGAAAAATAAAGCATGAAATGTCATTTTTAGAAAAATCTTCTCAGTCCAGACTTGGAAGAAACAGTGTGTATCAGTTATACCTGGAAATTGTAACATTTGTCCTTTTGTTTTTGGCAAACGTTCCAAGTCACACAGAGATCATTGGTGACATTGTGCAAAGGACATGTACCTTTGTGTTTGGGTTACCGTGTTTGAGCCCTTGTCACTCTGACTCTTCATTCCAGTCATAATTATTAGCATGTTGGCCTTTATTGCATCAGTCACTGCCTGGATTAACACAGGAGCAGCAAATAGTTACCAATGGGAAGTGAGTTAAGCCAGTCTGCGGTTACCAGCATGCACACGATCTGCACACCCACTGCTGTTTTTGAAGCATTGTTTTTCCTATTATTAATACACACACCTGTCTCCTCCAGGGGTTTCCAGCTTCGGTCAGCTGGCTGGTGTGAGATTTTCAATTCAGACGAGTCTGCGCTCACATGCACACGCATTTACATGCATGCAACAGTTTATTACCGTGTAAATAGTCTGTAGGGTTTGCAAACTACCCCAACATTTTTGGCATATATTGGCATATAATTGGAGGTTTATAATCAGGTTGATATGAAATAATTTAATGATCAGTGGTCATTGTTGACACACCACAGCACACAACAACGAAACATGTCCTCTGTATTTAACCCATATGTGAGCAGCAGCTATTTCAGCGCCCAGGGAGCAGTGCTTGGGGGCGGTACCTTGCTCAGGGTACCTCAGCGGTGCCTTGCTGGTCGGGGATTCAAACCAGCAATCTTTCAATTACAACTTCACTTCCCTAACCATTAAGCCACCCCTGCTCACAGTAGCTATAAAATAAAATATAATGTATTTTAATCTTTATATACTTCAAATGCAAGGTATTTTCTTGTCATATCAGCAAATGCTCATAAAATAAGCACGCATTTATACTGTTATCACAATCGATTGTCGCACGTATCATTTTTAAAGGTGAATGCGTACTTGTGTACCAGTTATGTCCATCCCTGTTTATAATGGAATAATGTAGATTTGCTATAAGGTTTCTTGCGTGAGCGTGAGAGTCTGAAAGCGTGAGTGTTACAGCATGTCTGTGAGAGTTGGTATCCCTCCTCCACTCTCCTTACACAGTAAATATGGCGCCTTCACAGAGATGCACACCTTTACAGTTATTCCTTATGCCCATCCCTTATCAGTAGGGCATCCAGAATCCCACCCCGATATGTGTCTCCCCCCTTTGCCCCAGGCTGCCCCCAGCCCCAGGTCGCCTGGCTGCACAACGGCCAAGAGGTCCAGGAGTCCGAGGACTTCCACTTTGAGCGGAGGGGCAGCGAGCACAGCTTGGTGATCCAGGAGGTTTTCCCAGAGGACACTGGGAAGTACACCTGTGAGGCGTGGAACGAGCTGGGGGGAGCACACACCGAGGCCACCCTCACGGTACAAGGTACGAACCCAGAACCATCTGCAAAGGCCACCTTTTGGGCAGATAGCTTTACCCGGCTGTTTCCATGACCTTTTTTGGTCTTCATGTATCTTTATGTGTTTATAAATATCGCAAAAACTGTTGACAGTCACTCCCGTTATCTGCGATGTATCTAGCACTAAACATCTTGATATCTCTGCTGTGATCAGTGTCCCTAAAAGCTTGTACAGCCATTTTTGCCCAGCAGATGACCAGCTAGGGCGTGTTGCACAGATTTTCTGCTCTGACCGTTTACACTGGGAGCTCAGTGAAATAAATCTGCTTAAGTGCCATATGGCAGCTACTTTTTGGGGAATTTAAACGTTGGTTTACTAAAGTCTAACACCTCAATCACCTGAGTCCCTTCTCCCCTTGTCATGGTATAATCCCACTGAACACGGATCCGGGTCGTAATGGTACCTTTCCTTTTTAGAACCCCAGGATGGAGTCCAGCCCTGGTTCATCACCAAACCCAAGTCTCTGACGGCCTGCTTGGGTCAGCATTCACTGCTGTCCTGCGCTATCGCCGGGGACCCCTTCCCACAGTTCCAGTGGAAGAAGGCTGGCCGGGTGTTGTCCTCAGGCTTGGACTACGAGGTTCTGCAGAAGGAGGACGTGGTGTCTCTGCTTATCAGGAGGGTCAAGGCTCACCATGCTGGAGACTACGAGATCAGCCTGAAGTACGCATGCTTGGGCTCTGAGTTCTGCTAGACAGCCTGAGTTCTTGAGGCCCACATCCTGGTGTATCAGTCTCCATCACTTGTCTGTAGCATGCATCTCTTCAACCTTTTGAAAGAGAAATGGTCTCTTCCATTCTGAGGAGCATTGTCGACTTTATATACAACTGAGGTTTATTTTTAGCTTCAGACGGAGCTTAGACACATACCTACAGCATTGCAATGAGATGCAACTGTGAAAAAATCTTTTGTGTTCTTCCCACTGGAAGCACTCATCACCATATAAGGCCGGTGTGTTTAACGGCGTAGCACAGGCGCTAGGATACGCGAGCCCTGTGCCGATTGGCCAGAGCCTCGGCTTGATGAGGGGTCCCCACTGTCACGGGGGGGGGTTAGGGGGTAACACGCCATGCATGTTCAGATGAACAGGAGCAACCAAGGAGTTTCCAGAAGAGCTGCTCCTTCCCCTGCAGCCTTGCAGACATAAAACGGGACTCTGTTCAGCTCTGCTTGTCTTCCTCCTCCCTCTGTCTCTGTACCGCCCCCCCCCCCCCATTGATTTACTTTGCTGTGACTCTTGCAGAAACAAAGTCGGGGGCTGCAGCTGTGTGGCCCGTGTCCTGCTCAGCGAGGAGCCTGTTGGGTGCACAGGGTCTGCGGCGAGACCCCCCCAGCTGTGAGTGTGACACCCCCCCTTTTCCATATGCTATTTTTGGACAGATCCCATCCCTTTTCAGGCCCATAAGGCAGCGGACTTCCGAGAAGTCCCCAAACGCACTGTTTACCTCCCAGAGCTGTGCCATGCGGGGGGGGGGGGGGGGGGGGGGGGGGGGGGCAGGGGGGCTGTTGGGAAGGGGCATGTTTCCTTATAAGGCCACTGGAGTCATCATTGATGCAGCAGAACGATGGATTGTATTCGTCTAATTAACCTATTTTAAACTGTAGGCTGAGCCAGCCGGGGTCTTTAAACGTAGCTGTTTTTTTTTCTTTTTTCCCCTCTCTCACCCCTCCCCTGATTTTGGCTGCTGCAGAGGGGCTTGTCAGGGTGCTGGGGGAGAGGACAGCCCAGAGCAAGGCGGAGGCGCCGAGTGTGAGGAGCAGGAGCAGGAGTTTGGAGAGTCACTGGACAGCAGGGGCCTCCTGAAGAGGCGCGTGGAGACGCGGCAGCACGGCGAGGAGCATATCCGACAGCAGGAGGCCGAGCAGCGTGACTTCCGAGGAGTGCTGGGCAGGAAGGTCGATACCAAGAGCCTTTCTGAGGAGGACCTGAAGGAGATTACCGCCGAGCAGATGGACTTCCGGGCCAACCTCCAGCGGCAGGTGAAGCCCAAGACCCTGTCTGAAGATGAGCGGAAGATCAACGCGCCTCAGCAGGTGGACTTCCGTAGCATCCTGGGGAAGAAAGGGGCCGGCGGGCCCAAGGCTGATCCCGGCAAGGTGGAGCCACCCAAAAATGCCACGACTGATTTTCGGTCGGTGCTGAGCAACAAGAAGAAGCCAGCAGCTGTGGAGAACAACACAGAGAGCCCGGCGCCCAAGGAAGCACCCAAGGTGGCGCCCAAGGAGGTGCCCCAGGTACCCAAGGTGGTGCCCAAGGAGGCGCCCAAGGAGGTGTCCCAGGTACCCAAAGTGGCGCCTAAGGAGGTACCCCAGATACCCAAGGTGGTGCCCAAGGAGGCGCCCAAGGAGGTATCCAAGGTGGCCCCCAAGGAGATACCCCAGGCACCTAAGGAGGTGCCCCAGATACCCAAGGTGGCGCCTAAGGAGGCACCCAAGGAGGTACCCAAGGTGGCCCCCAAGGAGATACCCCAGGCACCTAAGGAGGTGCCCCAGATACCCAAGGTGGCACCTAAGGAGGTGCCCAAGGAGGCGCCCAAGGTGGCACCTAAGGAGGTGACTAAGGAGGCACACAAGGAGGCGCCCAAGGTGGCACCTAAGGAGGTGACTAAGGAGGCACACAAGGAGGTGCCCAAGGATGCGCCCAAGGAAGTATCCAAGGAGGCACCCCAGATACCCAAGGTGGCCCCCAAGGAGCTGTCAAAGAATGACATCAACTGCGTGGACGGCAGGATTAATGGGCAGAAGAACGGTGGCGTGGGGATGGCGCCCGTGTTCACTCAGGCGCTGAGCGATGCCAGTGTGCTGGACGGGGAGCGCCTGCAGCTGGAATGCCAAGTCAGCGCCGAGCCACCGGCCACCATCACCTGGACACTGGATGGGAAGGTCATCAAGCCCTCGAAATTCATTCTCCTCTCTGAGCAAGGTATGCCATCCATTCATCCAGTGAATTTAAAAATAACCAGATACTCAATGATGATTATGATGAAAGTGTTTCTGGATATTCTAACTAGAATGTTTGGAAATTATAATGAAGGTGTGAGTGTTACCCCTGTTTATGACATCAAAACTGTACAAAACCTGGGCAAGTCATACTATTCCACCCAATGACCACAGACGTTCAGAGTTATTTCAGACCTTCTTCCTCTGTGTGTTAAGCCTTGTGGTTTCAGAGCTGGAATTGCTGAGGAGCTCCTTGTAGCTTTACAGGGGAGCTTGAAAAGTTTTCGCAGTGCAGTTACTGTATGATGAAGATCTATCTACAGACACCTTCCTAATTCAGTAAAGTTAACGAGAGCACTAACATACAGGTACAGTATCAGCAGTATGTACTGTATTAGTCCTCAGCCTTTGGAGAATTCGCTCTCCATGTTGTCTCTGGTCAGCTTTCTTTGCCAGATTCCTTCCTTATCATTTTGTGGCTTTAGATGTTCTGCCTTAGAAAGTGACAGGAATTTTAGCAATTGTAGTATTGTGATACTTTATTAATCCCCGTGGTATTTTTTTTTCAAAACCCTGTATTGTATAAGCAGTTGGAGGTTGGTTGGATGGATAGATGACTGGAGAATTTGTTGTGATACATATTTGGTTACATGTATGGATGGATGGATGGATGGATGGATGGAAGGACAAGCATTACTGGCTGAACTGCTTGGCACTTTCAGTGATTCCTTCCAAATCATGATTTCCTGTTGCAAAAATGTCAGTATTATGTCAGTATTATTTTAGTATCATAGATATGGAATGATTGCTTTATCCCTGTCACTTCTGGTGTCTCGTGATTTCATCCATTTATTTCGAATGCATTTGCAGTACGGGTGCAACCCGCTCCCTCGATTAAAGTTGCACATGGAATTGTGAGCTTTTAAAAATTCCGGAATGTGGTGCAGTGTCTGTGCTTTTAAACACCTCCCTCTGCAGAAGGCCACTGCTTCCTGACCATTGACAAGGCCCTTCCGGAAGACGAAGGACAGTACAAATGTCGAGCTGAGAATGCCGCGGGGAGGGTCGAATGCGCCTGCATGGTCCTGGTGGACGGTGAGCTTCTCATGGTCTCACGGCCTAGTCACGCCACCCCCCCCTTTCACACACACACCTTCCGGTCGTTAAACTGCTTCCCTCATCACTGCTTCATGTCCCTCTGCCCCAGTTCTTGTAAACATCTTTATTGCTCAACAAAACTGCAAAACAAAACAAAATGGGAATGTAAAGTCATCTTACTCAATGGGCTCCAGAGGTCTTTCATATGGAGGTAATATGGCCTCAGTAAATCATTAGTTTTTCTTCATTTTCTGCATTGGATCACTTTCTGAAAATGTTCTGATGTTGTAAGTTCCTCACTGAATGGTCTGACAAGGCAAGAAATGATGTTAAGACGCAGTAAACAGTAAAAGTAAAAACATCATTGTAAACATCTTGTAAACAAATTGTGTCACACTAATTCCTGCACTTTGAGAATTTATAGCATTTTACTGCTTTACTCTCTTCCTGGCCAGTTTAGCTCATTCATTTGCAAAATGAGGTGCTTTTATGGAAAGCAGATTTGCAGTGCAGGTCCTTAGGGATGCAGTAGCAGAAGAGCTTCCGTAATACTGGTGCCATTAATGCTCTGCTAAGCTACATGCATCATCTGTGCAGTGAACAGCTTACGTGCCCCTTTAAGCCTACAGAAATAGCGCGGCGAGTTCGCATGTCATGTCGGCTCTTTTCCAGATCCCGAGGACACGAGCGCGACGGCAGCAGACAAGAAGACCAGAAAGGCAGCTCCTACCACAGAGAGTAAGTTTCTAAAACTCCATCCATAAAAATAAAACCACAAGCAGGTATGTGGCCAATCAAAGCACAGTGCTCATGTTTATTAATAGGCAGTGACGCGAGCATAGTGATCCGGCGACACGTGACATTAACAGTGACATTAGCACTGTGTCCGTGCAGCTGTGGGGATGCTGACTGGCAAACGGAGTATTTAAAAGCTGTTACAGCCATTATACCATGCCACCTGATATAATGTGTGCATTACATTTAACAGAAAAAATACCTATGAACAGGCTGGAATTCCACCATGCTGTACACTGGTTTGCATGGTCCAGGTATACATAACAGTGTGGGGACCACATGACCCCACAATATGATAAAAACACGTTATTTTGACATTGTGGGGACTATTTTTTCGGTCCCCAAAGGGGGAAACTCAGTTTTACAAAAATCTGTGACTGCAATCGTATTTTGTCTTGTATTTTGTTTGGTTTGTTATGGTTAAGGTTAGGACTGGGTAGGGGTTAAGATTGTTTGGATTAGGGTTTTGCCAATGAAAATGAATGAAGAGTCCCCACAAAGATATGAGTACAGGTCTGTGTGTGTGTGTGTGTGTGTGTGTGTGTGTGTGTGTGTGCGCCTGGTGCTTAAAGAGATAACCCTCTGACCACAAGGAAGGCCTCTGCTCCTGTAACAATGAACAGGGCACTTATGTGTTAAGGTGAAAAGTTCAAGCAAAGGATTAAATGAGGTGTCTGCCTGGGTCAATGCGGCAGCTGAGCTGCGGTATGAAATATGCATCGTGCTGCATAATGTACGGGTTCATGGAGATGCTTAACGCTGACTGAGCAGTGCGGAGTGTATGAAGCTCCCTGAGCTGTGTGACGTTAATGGCCGGTGGAGCAGTGTAGTGTTAAGGGGGGGTGGGGGTTTAATCAAATGCAATCTATATCGCAAAAGGCTAATTGGGCTGTATGATTTACTATGGCTAATTGAGCTGTAAGTAATGATATAATTAAGGTAATGTATAATGCTGATTGATTTGTGTTACATATAGAGCTTACTCAGCTGCATAATGTAATGAAATAAATGAACTGTTTAATATACAGAAATGGTAGCATTGTATTTGTAAGGTAACGTAATGCTAATTAACTAGATGTAATAGTGCTGTATATCATCCCGGGGTAACTGGGCCATGCCGTGTCGTTTATGGGATGTATTTAAGACATAGTCTCTCCACTGAGTGACTGCAGCCGCGTCCTGCCGGTTCACACCCACCGAGCCCCAGATCGTCTCTCCCAGACTTCCATGTAAGGCTTGCATCTCCCTGATCCCGCTGGCTTCCCGCGACGCCCTCGGATGTAGCTCAGCGATTCTGCCAGCTTTGGGATATGCACAGCCCCTCGTGGAATGCGCCTGACCCAAACAAGCCTTTAGAATCTAAACCCCATCTCCCCTTTCCGTTTCTTAGCACTGTAGGCGGGACGCGTCCTCGTTCATCACTGACATTTATGGCAGCAGACTTCACATGTTACATGGAGTTCAGTCAGCACAACAGAGTTTTAAGCTTTTCTTCTTATCCGTTACCTTTAACTAAGCTTTGTGGATGTCTGGAGTGTCGCAGGCTCTCAGACTGCGTAACGTTGGTTTGGGTTTTAGTGTGTTAGCACTTCAGCACTTCTGTGAGAAGAACGAGCCTTATTTTAACCCAGTGAGGATCTTAACAGAGCTAAACTCTTCTATCACTTCTGAGAATGAATAATGACAAACGTGTAACTCTCCTTTTCACAGACTGAATTTCCTCAGCAATGATCCATCGTAGCCCAAAATGAATACACGGCGTCTGGATTTAATCTTGATCTAGAGAAGTGACACTTGGGAATGCAGTTCAGTTCTTTAAGTTTGACTATTTTGTTGATATGTTTGCAAATAAAGATAAGTATTCTGTTCATACTAATAGAAAAAAATCACAGTTATACAGTAGTTATAGTCTTGTTGTTGTGGTAGCCGTTCTGCACTGCTGGAGAAGCAGAATGCTCATAGATGTTAGATAGAATGACATTTTCAGAGGATGCTAAAGTATGTGTGTGAAAAACGAAGGCAGAGGCACTAGGGTTAATGTCCTTCCTGTGCTGTACTGTCAAGCAGTGCGATTAAGGGCAACTGACACAGATACTATGCGTGACTGGAGAATTTGATGTGATACATATTTGATTTGATGGATGGATGGATGGATGGACGGACAGAGAGACAGAAAGACCTCTGAGAAGCACTAAAGGTGGAAGTTGGAAGCTCCTTCTGAAGGCATCCCGTCCCACACAATCTCAGTAGCAGACATGACTGCAGCTTGCCGAACGGGCAGGCAGTAATGGTGTGTGGGCGGAACACAATGCCAGACTGTGGAGTCCCAGTCCTTCCTGGAGTCCCCGGGTTTAATACCCAAACAGCAATAAAGAAAGGCAGAGAGTCATAGTGGAGGAGGGTAACCCTGACTGCAGGAGTCCATCACGCTTATTATTGGGTGTTTGACAGCCGGTCCCAGGAGACAGGCTTTGGGAACAGTGTCAGGCTGGCTGCGCTGTCGTCGGGGATGTAAAGGGTCATTTCCAGGTTACATGTATGGCTGCTGGTGTGGCTTGAGTGTCAGGGCCGTTCATTTAGTCCATGGTGCTATTTTCTCGTCCATGTGGTCGCCGTCCGAAGCGTCCTCAGTTTGTCCATGTGGCACCTCAAACCCCCATGTAGCTTTGTGTAGGAATCTCTGTTTTAATAGGGCCACTTGAGCTCTTGGGATACAGCTACAAAATGAAGGGTCTAATTTATAGCTGAAAAGGTTTTTTATCTGATATAGAAAAGAGCAGAAAAACACATCCTGTGATTTGCTCTGAAATGCTGCTTCTCAGTTTTATTCATTTCTTGTTTTTCTTTGTTTTTTTTACAATGACCAAACGTTAAAAAAATAGTACTAGGAGCAATTTCCTGGATATTCTGCCTATTTTTAGTATTACCAAAAAAAGTAAAATCTATTTAAAAAGCCGCAGTCCTCCCGATAGGAAGTGTTCCTTTATTACAGCCTCAATGACAAATGTTTTATTTTTGATGGGAATACAGTAGAGATACCAGCACAAACAAATAAAAGCCGTTTCAGTCTTTTGCAGCAATGTTCTTCTAACACTTCAGTCTGCTTCAAAGCACTTGGATGTTTAGGTGTTTTGAAGAAGCTGATTAATAAAAGCATTGAGGTGAACCCAGTGCATCTCGCTTAGCCATATTTACAGCCGACTGACATATCGATAAGCCTGTCTGTGTAGCAGCTGTGCAGTGTGACATGATGACCGGAACAAAGTTCAAGGGGTCATTCTATACGCTTATAAATCTGTTACCAAGTCCCTGCAGTGATACTGGCTGCATATTGATGTAACGAGTTTCAGATTTCTGAAGAATATTGTGAAAAAAAAATGAATTACAAAATGTGTTCCCTGCCATTCAGTTATGAATTCTGGCCATTTGGTCCATTTGATTTCACAGTGTCATAATATAAGCATACTTTCTACAGCTAAATAACCCAACGGTTAATAATGTTACTAAAATAAACAAATGGAAATCACCACTTCTCTTATTTATTTCAGAAGAATCTGAGGATTGCATGTTTTGTCTTGTAAGGACAGTTTCCAAGAGAAGGGGACCCATTTCATTTCCCTGATTTGTTGTCGTAGATATGTTACCGTGCATGAAACACTTAGAGATATCATTTTCCTGCTCATTATGATCAATGATGTATGTTTGTTCTTCCTAGATGAGGCAAGGATAAAGAAGAAGCCAGCCCCTAAGACTCCTCCAAAACAGGGTAAGGATCCTCTGCACTGTCAAATAGCATCAGGCAAGATAACCTGAAATGTCTGGTCCTGAGATGTATATCACTGGGTAACGGGAGTAGAGCCAGGCCTGCTGTTGGTAGGGTTAGCACTGGGTTTCTTTCCAAAAACAGAGCTACAGGCTCACGTCTGGGCCAGACTGTCAGTCCCAGCAGCTGTTGCAGTTGTGCATTTCTGGAGCAGTTCAGCCTTAAGCCGTTAACCCCACCTCGGTACTGGGGAAACAGGAAAGCCCTGAGCTTTTCCCAACATCCCAGCCACAGATTGACAGAAGCAAGTGAGCCAGGTTGAGGGGAAGGGAGTTATACTAGAACGCCCTGGGGGGGGGGGGGGGGGGGGGGTTTAAAAAAGAGCGCGGGGGGGGGGGGGGGGAGGTTGGGATTATGAAAGTGAAACAGAGAGGTCAGAGGTCACAGGAACAGCGGCATGACTGTCTCCTCTGCGTCCACTAGGCGCTCCACCTCAGGTCATCCAGTTCCCCGAAGACATGAAGATCCTAGCGGGAGAGAAAGTGGACCTGCTGTGCAAGTTTGGAGGTGCTCCACCTATCACCTGCACCTGGCTAAAGTTCAGGAAGCCGGTGAGGACCGAATCCATGGCAACCTCAGTGTAAAAGCTGTACCCTCATCACATCTATAATCAGTTATGATTCAGTCCAGCTTGCCTTTCACTGGTTGAACCTTACTCACTTTAGACACGTACTTGTCAGCGCTGATGTTGTTGCGACCATGTCCCCCCGCACAGATCCCAGAAGGGAAAGATGACATGACCATGGAGACCGCTGAGTCCACCAGTCAACTAACCATATACCCCACCAAGCCAGATCACTCTGGCTGTTACACCATTGAGCTGCAGAACAAGTTTGGCACCAAGCTGGCATCACTCAACCTCACCATCGTGGGTAGGTCACAGTGCGCTGGGGGCTGGAGAGCGGCGGTCACGGCTGGTGTTGTGTCTTCAGTCTGTGTTGCACTGTGATCCAAATGTCATAACTATTAGTACTGGGCTGATTTTTTAAAGTTGAGTATTCAGGTCCTTTATTGGTTATGATTGTTTCTGTCGTGATGAAGACCAGTTGGCTGATAACTGGTCGTGTCATTAATCTCAAAACGTTAAACGGCAGAAGGTTCCATTTGCATTTCCTTGTGTTCCCTTGAAAGAATCTGTTAAAGTTCTGTAGTTATTTTTGTTGTAGTAATTAGGGGTCTAAGTACTGTACATCATGTATTATAACTAAAAGTGAAGTCAGCAAAGTAAAATATTGTTGCATTAGGAAAAAAAAGGTAATGAAATATTTTCATATGGATTTACCCACTATATTTTGTTGTTTGTTTTATATGAGAAATGGTTTTTACACCATAAGTGCATTTAGGCTCATAGCGGCTCTGCGTTTTTAAGGCTCACCTAGCCAGTCAGCGGCAGCTGGGGAGTGCGAGCTCCCGTGTGGAAAACAGGAGCGCTCTGGACGCTAGCTTTAGCCGCGGCGCTGCCAATTTCCTTCTACGGCTTTGTTTTCCCTCTCCGGGACATTCCGTTTCACGTGGGAGCCGCTGCCACCACCATCAAGAGCGGAGTGTGTGTGTGTGTGTGTGTGTGGGGGGGGGGGGGTCGAAGGCGGCCTCCTGCCTCAGGCCTCCATGTGAGGCAGCAGAGGCAGCTCCCTGCAGAAGGAAAAGCAGAGCAATGTTCAGGGAGGAGTTTGTGGCCCGTGCTGACTTTGGCACATTACTCTGTTTAAGTAGCCACCTGAAAGTAATCATCCCTCTGTCGGTATTACCTTAGATGATTCTGGGTGAAGCCTGTTCAGCCCGGTAATATAAACAGGGCGGGTGAGGTTAGAATATGAAATGGATACAGAAACATCTAGAAGCATACAGTTGTTGAGTAACAAGCGTCCTGCCAGTCAGACAGAGGCCGCCTCAGTGCTGTAATCGAGTGTGTAAGTGGAGAATAGGGTCTGCGTTCTGACTCATACGATGCTAGTTTCTATTTTGAGCTGGGGAACCACATGGACTCAGATCCAAAGAATTTTAATGCTGAGATTTAGGGCGATATCTTTATGATCGTGGGCCATGATGGCGGTCCCTCAGCGACCCCAGGGGACGGAGCTCTGCAGTCTTTCCCATCACCAAGATAAAAGCTCCATCATTCAAACAAGACTAGGCTGAGCTTAATGTTATTTTTTTTTTCCCTTTTATACCCAAGCTCTATTCATGAAACTGGATGCTGGGATCATAAGGTTAACCAGCAATAAATTAATGTTTAAATCTTACTGTAACTGTGTAGCTTATGGCTGAAGTTATATGGCCCTGGAAACACTGACCAGCAGGATAATATATCTTTTACATGGTTTATTCAAGGCAGTGATGATTTGTTCTGCACTGGAGGTCCAACAGCTTCTGAGTTTAAATCCAAAGATCTGGCTATTTTTCCTGTTCCTGTAAAACATGATAATTTAATTTCCAGATACACAGGTGACAACAAAAATTATATGTTTTTAAGTAGCCAGGCCTGGTTTTCTTGGCCAAGGACACACGAAGGTGACTCTGAAGATACTTCTGCTTGTCCTGCTCAGCACTGGGAGCCTCTGAGGTTTACTTGTGAACGGTGCATTTCAGACAAACCCGACCCCCCTGCCCGGGTACCAGCAGCCTCCGATATCCGCAAGTCGAGCCTCACTCTGTCGTGGTATGGACCCACCTACGACGGAGGCAGCGTGGTCCAGTCCTACAACCTCGAGATCTGGAACTCGGTGGACAAAGAGTGGAAGCCACTCACCTCCTGCAAAAGCACCTCCTTCAATGTCCAAGACTTAATGGCAGACAGGCAGTACAAGTTCCGGGTACGAGCCGTCAACATTTATGGCACTGGGGAGCCCAGCGCTGAGTCAGATCCAGTAACGGTTGGAGTGGAAGAAGAAGGTTAGCCCCCCCTAGTGGTCACTTCTAAATACACCTACACTTACAGAACACAGAACAAGACTGACTGAAAGCAGTTCAGCAGATAGCAGATTTTCTTTTTTTTTATGCACCTTTGAGTAGAAATTATGGAAAATGAATCCCATAACTGGTCTGACCTCGCCAAAAAATAGTCTTAACACTGGGCCCAAGTCTCTGCTCAGTGTGGTAACTGACTTATTGACCCCAAACCTTACAGTTAAATTTTAAGGGTAATTCTAGCCACTCACAGGAGGGAAGGGGGTCCCAAGTCGAGACCCCATAAAATTCCCACGGCCTCAGTCTAACTTCACACGAAGGGAACACACACCTTTAAAACAGCTTATGGTTCTTCTGTCATCCCTCAGAAAAGAAAAAGGTTGAGGAAGAGGAGGAACCTGAAGCTTCTGATGAAGGTATACACCTACACATGGTTTTCCTGGAGGATGGATTTATTATAGAGATAATACACATTTAAAAACACATTTTAATAGTATTGTAATAAAAGTATTCATAAGTTATGAGCAAATTATGGTGTGATTGTAGCTACAACAACAACAACAATTGTGTTTTGAAATATCAGTGATGACTGCTTGCTCAATCTGAGTACATAACCCTGCATTTCTGATTTAAGGCTGTTCAGCTGTGTTCCTGTGGCTCTCCTCTCCCACGACTGTCTTCAGCTCCTTTATGCTCATTGAAAAGCAGCTCAGCTTAGAATAGCCAAAGTTGCCTTCTTGACTGTTCTTATTTGCAATGTAGTTTTATCCGATTGTTTTGCAGAAACAAAACCAGAATACAGAGATGTGGTCATTAAAACCGACCAAACGGTCAAAGATTTCTACAACGTGGAGGAACGACTTGGGACGTGAGTTACAGCTGGTGACTGTAGAGACCACATATCTAAATGAAGGTGTCCAGGAGGGATCGTTTGTGAAAAACATTTCTGTCCTTTTTTTAGGGGGAAATTTGGACAGGTGTTTAAACTGGTGGAGAAGTCCAGTAAAAAAGTATGGGCTGGGAAGTTCATCAAAGCGTTCTCGGCGAAAGACAAAGAGAGTGTGAGACAGGAGATCGGCATCATGAACTGCCTGCACCACCCCAAGCTGGTCCAGTGTGTGGATGCCTTTGAGGGCAAGTCCGACATCGTCATGGTCATGGAGATGTGAGTGTGCCCGTTCCATCAGCCATTGTTGAGGGTGTTGAGTTGCACATAGAGTTTTTTTCTCATCGGCATTGCTGTCTGATACTGTCTCAGTGGGCAGAGCTGTAGCCTATTGGTCCGTGGGATCAGTTCCTTCCTTGTCTCTGTGCAGGGTTTGCAAGGGCTTTCATGCGCAGCCCTTAGACGTGTTTTAGGGAAGCTGAGTGCACCTCATGTCCAGTGCGCCTATGACAGCCTGCAGGCTCAGCGCAGCCCTTCACTGGCTCACTGGGAATGGAAAATAAATGAATAATCACCTGCTTCTGTCTCGTTATAGAAGTAACGCTTTGAAAGTTATCCCAGTTATCCCAGTTGTACCATATATAGAAAAAGGTAGAAAGTTAAAAATAGAACAAAACCCATAAGCCCCCCCCCCCCCCCCAAGCTAGTTCCTCATAAGGAAAGAAACGGCATGTGGCCCCATGTCTGAACAGCCTGCTGTCATTTACCGAGGAATGTCCTGTGCAATTTTATCGACAAATTAAGTCTTACTTGAGATATCTCCTTTTCCATCGTGCCATATATCATATGATGACTGGCCAGCTGTCATGGGCTGACTGTGAAGGATGCTGATGAAAGAGAGAGGACAATTACCAAACACGAGTACCGCACAGTCACTGGCTTCTCACTGCTCTGTAGAGTGAACTGAAATCCTTTGCCTCGGAACGAGTCTTTTTTTTCCCATTCCTGGGATTAGCCGTCCCCTAGACGTGATCCAGACACCTGCCTGGCGCAAAACAGAGACTATAATCACTTACTGGAAAGGGTTTCTCATGAAATATTGTCATTAAAATATGGCACGAGTAAAAAAAATGTAACTGTCCAAAATATGAAACACTTTTACTGATTGTCAAATTCTGATTTGATGGCACTGTTTAGCATGCTATGACTGTGTGAATATAGCAACATTGTTAGAAGGTTCTTTCTAGTGTAGTGTAGGCTTAGTTTTTGAAGATGGATTATTGACATATTAGGGTGCCTGGAATGACATTGGTTTGACATGAAAACTTTTGCAATGTCTACAATTATTAAGAAAAGCCTTGTGATGACATGTCGTGGATGTGATTTGACGTGCTGTTATGATACTGCAGGGCGATGTCACCGGTATGACGTGACATTGACTTGATGTGCTGTGACCTCTTCAAACCCACGTCGTATGTCGCAGGATCTCTGGAGGGGAGCTGTTTGAGCGGATCATCGATGAGGACTTCGAGCTCTCGGAGCGGGAGGTCATCAAGTACATGCTGCAGATCATCGACGGCGTCAATTTCATCCACAACCAGGACATCGTCCACCTGGACCTGAAGCCCGAGAACATCATGTGTGTCAACAAGACGGGTAGCAAGATCAAGCTCATCGACTTTGGCCTCGCCCGTCGATTAGGTGGGTCTCACCTGGGAAATAAAACTCTTACTGTTTTTGTCAGGAGGGCAGTAGGTGAAATGGCATAAGGATTTCTGAATGACCTGCCCTCAGACATCACTTTCCTTGAATATGGAAACCTTACTCCCCAAACATGGTTGACGCATCTTTTAATTCTGTTTTCCGTTTGCTCACAGAAAACTCAGGATCCCTCAAGGTTCTTTTTGGGACACCAGAATTTGTGGCTCCGGAGGTGATTAACTATGAGCCAATCAGCTATCAGACTGACATGTGGAGTATAGGAGTCATCTGCTACATCCTGTGAGTGAGGAACAGTCCCGTCTGTCCTACACACCATATTGCTGGTGTTTCTAAGACAGCAAGTGAGGAGTGTGACCAGGAATCTGTCGCTCTGTGTCAGACCGGGGCAAGCCAAGGCAGCACAATTAATTATTGATCTCAGAAAAAGCTTCTTGAGGACGTCCGAGAATAAAAGAATCCAAATTCCATTCTACAGCGTGTGAGGAGGTGAAACAGTCCTTTAAAAATGTAATCCCTTGCGTGCCTTTGGACTAAAAGTGGGGCACAAAAATTCAACTTAAGGAGGAGGAATCTGAGGGCCAAAGCAACGGTGCCGTGATGACTTCACTAAATCGTTAGCCAAGCTGATTCAGACAACCACGAAGGAGTTACCATCTAACAGCATAGTTGCATACTGGTTAACAAAAACACAATTGATAACATTTGTCAGATAGACTTACCGAGGTGCATTTACTTTTTTAATCATCAAGGTGAGCATTTTTTGGGCAAATTAGGCCGAGGTTCATGTCGCTGCCGTTCTGCAGGAATCGTTTCATTCTTGTACTTCAATTAGCCATCTAGACCCACCACCGGCGATTTCAGGCAGCCCTGCTCTGACTGTAAATCTCATAAATCTCTTACAGATTGCCATGTTATACATTTCTTGCCTTAGCTAGAGCATGGAGAAGAGCCGTGTTAGCGCTAACTAGTAGCATTTTTGCTTTGGTTACTTGACTTGAAAGGTCACCAATTTAGCTTTCAGGAATGGTCTTGCTGCTGTACCATTGACCTGTTATTTAGACTAGATTGCTTAAATTGTATAAAGTGCATGCTATTTTAACAGTAAGATAGTGTAAATCACTGCTACAGAGCTTCATTAAGTATTCTCCTGCCGTCATCTCATTATCTTCATAACAGCAATTGGACTTATCTTTCTGAGCCTCTCTGACGGCTGTGACGTTTGCCGTTCCTCAGGGTGAGCGGACTTTCCCCCTTCATGGGAGATGATGACAATGAAACACTGTCCAATGTGACTTCGGCCACGTGGGATTTTGAGGACGAGGCCTTCGACGAGATCTCCGAGGAGGCCAAAGACTTCATCAGCAAACTTCTGAAGAAAAACCTAAAGTGAGCCCCGGTTGATGCTGCCAATTTAGAATAAACATTTGCGACATGTCACATGCTTACCCTACAGAAATGGGACTTGCACTCATCAGTGATTCACAGCTAGTGACCGGCTACCAATATCTTCATGGTGCCAGTCTGGTAGGGTGAGGCCTATAAGAAGGACATTCATGCATGACCACTGGTCTTCCTTCCCACCGCAGGGCTCGGTTGACATGTCCTCAGTGCTTAGACCATCCCTGGCTGAAGCAAGACACAAAGACTATGGAGGCCAAGCAGCTTTCAAAGGAGAGAATGAAGAAGTACCTTTTGAGGCGGAAATGGCAGGTAGGGAGATTCCCAGTTCTGCTAAAGAGGAGGCCGCTTCACCCAGGTGCCTCTCAAACGCCAGTCCTGAAGTCAAGTTTCTCCAACTTTAGATGCCCCTAATTTGTGTTTCAGTGTTCTTGGAATCATGAAATTAAGTGGCACAACTAACAGACATAAACCCAGTTTATTGCTCCTCCGAACAGAAAACGGGTCACGCGGTCCGAGCCATCGGCAGACTGTCCTCCATGGCCATGCTGTCAGGCATCAGCGCAAAGAAGGGCGGCTCTCCCACCGGAAACCCGACTGAAGGTGACCCAGACACCCCAAATTACTCCATGGAGCCAGAGACAGTCAAGCTTTTTAGGGGGATTATTTTATGAATGATTCTCTTTTTGACCCCACAGATGATCTGGCCAACCAGTTGCTGGAGACCATCGAGGATGAAGAAAAGCCTCATACCAAGCCCATCTTCATCACCGTCATAAAGGACGTGGAGGTCGTAGAGGGCAGCGCCGCTCGCTTCGACTGCAAGATCGAGGGTAAACGCATCCCCGTCTGGAACCGCTTCCGGTGTGACCTTCCAGCCGCAGCTGAACGGAAAGCACCTCCCTATGATCAGGCCACAACCAGATGTGCGGTTTCAGTAGCCTTAAAGTGCACCGGTTATGCAACAAAGCATTCCCTACAGATGACTCACAGAGAAGCTATTAATGAGATCCATTTCAACTTTAAAGAAACACGTGAAAACTACCTCTACATGGAGAAATGTTTACTTGCTTTTATAATGGTGCAAGTGAACCTAGGATTTAACAATCATGATCAACCTACTGTTATATCTAATATAATGAAAATAGTTTACATGTAGTATATCCTGAATTTTGAATATAGCCATTTCGGGGCAATGCAGACATCACTCCCTGATGATTGTACTGTGAGGTCTCTCTTTTTTGTATCTGCAGTCTTTCTGAACCTCTAAGCGTCTGAAGTTTCCTGATTTATGTTGGCAGGATACCCTGACCCAGATGTGGTGTGGTACAAGGACGACCAGCCCATCAAGGAGACGCGTCACTTCCAGATAGACTACGACGAGGAAGGGAAGTGCAGCCTGGTCATCTCTGAGGTGTCCAGCGACGACGACGCCAAGTACACCTGCAAGGCCGTCAACAGCCTGGGTGAGGCCACCTGCACGGCCGAGCTCCTTGTGGAGTTCATGACCGAGGAAGAAGGAGAGGATGCCGGGGAGGAGGGGGAGGGGGAGGAGGAATAGAAGAAAGACATGTGAACTCCTTCGCCAGTGAACTTATCCTGTTTTCATGACCGCTTGCTTCCTCTGACAGACTGACCAATGGGGGAAGAGCACACTTTCATCACACTGTCCCTATGATCCTGCACTTTCTCTCTTAACAGTAATAGCATATATCAGGCGTTAATTAATACTGCAACATCCTTGACATTCCAGCGATGTTCCAACCGGTTTATAAGCAGGTATTCCGATTCCGCACTTCGCCAAAGAGGTTTAGAAAAACCGAAGAAGCCAAACTGACATCCACATGTGATTGTGTTTTCGTTTCAGTTTGATGTTTGAAGTTGCTGAGATGTTTGCCCCCCCCCCCTTTTGAAATCGTGTTTTTTAATGCATCAGTTTTAAATTTATTTAAGCACAGAGTCCATATCGTGTCGTAGTTTCTGCGTAAGTTTTAAGCATGCAGCTCTCCACCGTTTCCCGAATTGCAGTTATAGACAAATCGAAACAAGTGACACTATTTTATAGGCCATTATGTCTTTAATTTTTATAAAGTGTATCGGTTTGACCAACTGCTGACTTCAAGTAATGAGAAACACTACAGCTGTAGTTACTCACTGTTCCAGAATAAATGTTATCACAAAAACCCTATTTGTGCTGAATGAATGATGAATGGGATTACAGTGAAGAAAGGAGCTTCCCTGACTGAAGCATGAACTCAAGCCATCAATGTTCATTTTACTAGAGAAGAGGCAGTCTGAGTAGGTGATATATTGTGAGAAAATGCATTCTGAATGCATTGCTGGTCGTGAATGTGAGTCAAAGCTTCAATGAATGTAAATTCTTTAAAAGCATTTCCTATAACAAGAATAGTTATGACTTGTTCCTCTGTTGATAATTATGAGGACTATTTAAAGTTTCAGCTAAAAAGTAATGACCACCCCCACATGAAGCAAACAATGTTGACTAATAAAAAATATCAGTCTAATTAAAATGGTTCATGTTAGGGTTTGGGATATATTAGACAGTAAGCTAACATTCAATACTTGTAGTCGACATGTTGAATGCAGAAGAAATTGGCAGCGATAAAAGTCTGAGTGACTTTGATAAGGGCAAAAGCATTATGGCCAGATGACTGAGTCAGAGCATCTCTGAAACGGTAAGGCTTGTGGGCTCAGGATCCGCTGTGGTGAGTACCTACTGAGAGCGGGCTGAGGAGGGAAAAGCCATGAACCATTAACAGGGTTTTGGGTGGCCAGGACTCATCGATGTGGGATGCGAACAAAGTTTATCACATCTGGTACAGAAGGGCTACCGTGGCACAAATGGCAGGTAATTCTGATAGTGACACACAGAACATCAAGCCCTTTGATTGTGGGACTATGTAGCCGCAGGCCAGTCAGGGTGCTCAAGCGGACCCCCGTCCACCACTGAACACGCCTAAAATGGGCAGGTAGTTGTCAGAACTGGACTGTGGAGCGATGGAAGGTCATCTGGTCTGATGAATCCCATTTTCTATTGCATCATGTGGATGGCCGGGTGCATGTCAAGCCAATTGCAGGTGGGTGGAATGCATCAGACCAACAAGTCTGATCCACGTCTTCGTACCTTCATGTGCAGCAGGGCTCAGTGCCCTGAAGAGAAGAACATTTCATCCACTATCCTGTTCAATCTCAAAAGACCCATTTAAAAGGTGCATTATTATTATATTGTTAAAATTTCCTTGCTGAAAACAATTTGCATAATAGAACGGTAACAATAAACCGAACAACATATTTTAAAAATTAAACATCTTGCGGTGTTTTTGTGGTTTGAAGGTATATAGTTAAAGCCATGGCCATAAATTATGGGGGTAAATTATTGTGGTGGGGGGTTGTAATCCCACCCCAATAATCAAAACCAGCCAATACATCCTCCGGGACCCCCTTTAATGGAGACCTCCCCCCCCAAAGCCCCCAATGCTCTACCCAAAGTTATGATCTAGGTTGACGTCTGAATTCAAATTGGCAAATATGGAAACAAATTCGAAATGGTTATAACCACTAACCTTCATGCAAACATATGAAATACTACTGTAAACATTATACAAAATTTACAGATAAACTACATGAGAATTCCGGCTTATGCGTCTCCATTTGACCGCCAGAGGGAGATGTAGTCTGCGTACTCTGAGTTTTATGTTGTATTACCTCTATGGACTGATTATGAAATTCACCTGTGTTCTTCCATTTTAATATTTTCGTGTTCATCCATTTTCGCCGATTTACGCAAAGGTTCATTCACTAGCATGCACTATTGTTTTGTTTATTTTTTTGCTCAAAAAATGCAATCTTGACAGGAGTCGTATTTTTATCATGTTCTGTAATATATTTTGTTACCACCAGATGTCGCTAGCGTCTTATTATTATGGATGGCTGCTTTAAATCAATATTTTATTGAGATTATAATTAGCAGGCATACATTTGAACGTTTTATAGGTTTGTATATTTAGTGAAAGAGCGTTTTATTTTTGTTAAAAATACAAAATTAAAGCATAAAAAGTTAGAAGTTGTATTTTATGTTACCCCCTGTATACCACATTTGGTGAAACAGCATGGCACGAAAATTTCTATTTCCCGGTGTGGCATGAATTTCAGCGTAACACAGATGTTTGTCTGATTGATCAGCTCACTCGGACAGATGACGACTTGCCTGATTACAATGGCCCTACTGTGCCGCATCTGTCCTCTCTCGTGCTTGGACTGGCCTGTGCGATACGTCAAAGGGCAAAGACAAATTAAGCGGCATCTGGGAGCGGGACGTCCTAGGCAACCCCACACACAGACAACATATTGTTCTGAGTCTTATTTTTGGCACGTGTCCACAAATCTCTTGTAGCTTTATGCCTTCAGGTTACAGCATATGTGGGTCAGACCTTAGAATGAGCTTTAACCATACTGGTTTACATATTTCTAGCGGTGTGGAACTTTTTAATTGTCCGCTATCCTTATTACTATTCGGGCAAGCTTTGTCAAGTGAGCAAATATTTGTGTTGAATCATTTCCGTAACAAGATGTACAGCTATTGGCAGTAAGCTGGGGAGTGCAGCTTTTTTGGTATGATGCTACGCAATAAAGGCAATATTCTGATGCATGAGTTATAGTGTGTCACAATTAGTAATATTAAGATTTTGTTCTTTTCCATCCGTGTTTTTGTTCCAAGCTACAGTGAGTCGTTTTATTTCCAGCGGGTCACCTGCTGTTTAACTTCCAGAACATGGTGTTTATACCAGGTCTGCTCACTCTCTTCTTCCTCTAATGTGTTAGCTGCCCCAGTGCAAAAGTACCTATTAAAGGTGACATCTACTCTAATAATAAACTCATAAATGAAGAACAAACCCCTGTTGGTTAGTTAGCGGAGTTAACTTTGGCACGGTGAGTAGCCTGCATGAGCTGGTTTGTATAATCCCCAGTTTAATCACATGAGCTTATAGTTAAGTTACCACATGTTTTCTGCTCTGGTGAAACTCGGTCTTATCTTAAACATTTATTTAAATAGTCATGGAAGCCAACCCTGACCTGACTGCCAAAGAATAATGCTTTGAAATTTTAAGACGTAGACGACGTAATTGGGGCGTTTATTGCCTGTATGCCATGGTCAGTTCACCTTGATCTGAGTCGAATATAAACTAAGGACACACGTTTTGTTTAAACACAGGTAGGGACAAAATCAGCCCGGAACCCCTACAATACAGGTGTTACGACGTGTACCTACCGTTAATACGCCCTAGATACACCTACACAGATATTTCCTGACATATCCAATGTAAAAAAATTAACCCAAATAAGGAAAAATAGGAAGCTTCGAACTACTCAAAATTTAATTCATCCATCTTCCAATCAATTATCCAATACATGCTTTAATTAAAATCTTCTCTCATTTCTCGTAGGCCTACTATCGAGTACCGAATCCGTTTTTTATTCTCATTGAATACCGTGCATGCCAGCCTAGCGTACTTCTATTAGGCTACAACCAGGTAGTTAACAGTAGTCTAAAATTGTGTTGGATAAAATGTATCAAACCAAACACTTTACTTTCAGTGCGTGGCAAGCATGTGTGGATTGTAGGAGCCTTAAGTATATTTCTTTCAGTAACATCAGTAACAGTTATTTTTTTCAGTAAAAAATAACGGAAAACACGAAAACCAAATAAATGTCACTTTTCATCGATTTATAAAACAAATATTTTTTTAAAAGACTCCAAGTACCAGAATGCAATATAACAAATATCAGTCTCCTTCGCTAGAGCTTTTGGCACGCCCGGGGTGGGGGGCAGCCTGAAAGGGCGCATTGTGTTGGGAAGTGACTGCGGGGCGTCCTGGGCACTCGGGTCCTGCTCAGTTTGCTGTCAGTGCCGGGGGGGTGGGATCCGCAGAGTCTGAATCATGAACATCATCATCGCAGCCGACTGGGAGGGGTGCAGAAATTGTGCAAGATACGGTTAAAGAGCACCTCCGTCCTTCCAGCAGATGGAAAGGCTGGGGAATCCCTAAGACTCTCGGCAGGATGCAGGGGGGAGACGCGCATGTTCCCCTCCGGCGCTGCGCTGCGGTGTGACCAGCCTGGAACAAGACTACGGAGTATCAACGGATGATAAACCCATTTATTGTCTAGCCCGAGTCGCAGTAGTTGTCAGTGAAGGTTGATCGCTGTTTTATTAAAAGACTGAAATATGGGGAACGCGGGGAGCATGGATTCTCAACAAACTGATTTCAGGGCTGCGCATATGCCCCTGAAACTGCCGATGCCGGAGCAATGTGAACTGGAAGAGCGTTTTAACGTCGTTTTGGTAGGTTAATTAATGCTTTCTAATATTTCTGAAGGAACATTGATTGGTTTCTGTTTCAAGTCTGTTACGTCTTATCACAGACAGCGGCAGCCTTATGGTCTGGTTGCCACTGCCCTTTGGAGTATTCAGCTGTCATTATATGGGATGTTTTGAATATTGCCGGTCTGATTTAATTGCAGACTAGCCGAATAACCTTGATTAGATTATGTTCCATCTGAGAATAATTGGCGGACAATATGCGTCCCCAGCAGCCAACACTGGAATCAGTGCGCGCATATGGGAAAACCACATGGACTATTACTAATTTGCAATTTAAAGCGTTTATGGTGGTTACTGGCTTCACACAACTTCCGTATATATTCTCTGTCCGGTAAAGGGGAAAGCTATAAATGCCAGTCAGTGCAACAAGTACGTATGCCTATAGCAGATAAGAGGAAAACAAAATTCTACCTCTCATTTTTCTGAAATTAGAAAAAGGGGGAAAATGATTTGTCTGAATAGGTTCAAACACAGTTAAACATGAAGAAACTGTTTATACACTAAAACCGGGATGTTATTAAATACCAGTCGTTCGCAAAATAGGCCTAATAATTAAAAAATCCCATTGGACATTCGCCTGATTACGGTCCCTGAGCAAGTATATTAAAATACCACTATGGCTCTGTAGCAATACATTATATAAATATATATCCTAATTTGCAGTAGGCTATTTGCTAGTCATTTCGTATGTGATACATCTAGCGATGGATCGAGTATGTTAGTTTCCGCTTATTTAAAAGAAAAAAAACACAAGTAACGAGAAAAGCAGAATAAGTAAATCCGATTCCTGAAGATCGCCACGCCTTTTTAGTCTTGCGAGTCTGAGGGTGTAATTTGGGATAGCGGGGGCTGTCTGCTGAACGCGCTGCATGATCTGCGGTATAAAGGCGGATTGAAACGGGCACCGGTCGCTTTGAAGTGATCCCGATGATATTACAGCGCTCCGACACGCTTTACCCTTAGTCCAAAATGTTAAAAACGTGCTTCTCCGGGGGAGCGTTTTATTGCCTGGCATCAATTAAGTGCGTTTACTCAGCCATGCAGGAGCGCCGGTCGTAGGACTGTGATCTCTGGGCAGCCGCGCAGTTTGAAGATGCACCTGCGTTTCGCTGGCAAGTTGGCTTTAATTATCTTTTGTTTAAGCTGATCATCTGTCGGTGCGCAACAAGATCTCATTTAACATCTGGCACATCAAAAAGCCTTTGCGTGGAAGAGCTCATGCCTGGTGGTGGTGCTTATAAATGTTGTCACTCACCAAGTCATTAATAGCCTTTGGAAAGGGAAAAAGCAGTCGTCCTGTATATAGCTGGTAGTTGCTGCTGGTGACTCGTAGCCTAGATTTCTTTTTTAAAAAATTATGATGGAAAATGTTTTTTTTTTTTTTTTGGATGGAGGGGTGCCTGAGTTTTATAAGGTCATCCTAGGACACGCCACACACCATCCTGGGATGGTCATTGCTCTGAAAATGGCTGTCCATATCAAAGGATATTGCAGAAGTAGCAGTGAAAGCAGGATTTAAAATAATACCTGTCATTTACTGGTTTTATATTCTTTGTGTTACATATTCCAGTTGTTGTCCTCACAATTAGTTACGGCTGTTTGTTTCCAAGTTCCTGTTATCTGGTAACTTTTTTTTCATCACTTACTGCATGGTTCTCTCATCATTTAAATCCAAACCAGTGTTGAGGTTGGATAAAGACTAAGTCAGGGCTTGGAAAATGAAAATGGTGACATATGACAGGCCCACAGGCCAGCAGCTGACAGGCCCTGACTTAAGCTTGGGCTCTGCATGGTGTTCAATCGGTCGCTGTAGGAGACCATGGCTTGTCATAGTGATCTTCTTGGGCTGTAATTGGCTGACAGATGCAACCTCTATGGCTGGTATGTGTGTGTGTGTGTGTGTACACTTTCACTGAGGGGAGGGACTGGTTACTAACTGCAAGGTGATTGAGCATTTCTCCTTAATCTTTAAGGACGGCTCACGTTGACTGAAATTTCATCATAGACAGAAAGTATTACCACTGAATGTGTTTCGGTCTTTCCGATTGTTAATGCACAAGCTGGAATTTCAGTACTAAGCTTATATCCTTATTGTATTTGCATCTGCCTTCAAAAACGTCTGAAGTGTGGTCAGAGAGGCATGGAAATTGTCTTGGCTATAAGTCAATGCCTTAATCTAAAGTGATCCCTCTAATATTAATCCTTTTAACAATCCCGAAACTTGAATTTCTTCGAGAATTAAGTGCTCTCCTCAACAGTGTAAAGGCAGTTGCCTCTCTTTAAATATTATTATTGAACCTGTAAGTCTTTGATGATGAGTGATTTGCTACAGCTAGCAGTGGGTCTGGTCCAATTCTTTAGAGCTCTTGGCCGGTCCACGTTCAGATCTGCGTTTACGAGGATGTCTAAGTGTGCAGAGAACCCTAAAATGAATTTAGATTAAAAGGTGGATGTTAATCAGTCCATGACTGCGACAGTGTGCCTGGGATCCTGCCCACCCCCGATTTGTTTATTTCTTATGTCTGAACACTTCATTTTCTAATCAACTAGTTGTGAAGCCCATGTGTGCAGGTGGAGCTGAAATGTGAATAGGCTGTGGAATCTGAGGTCTTGGTTGGTAGCTCGCTAGGTCGGTGAGTGGGTAAGCAGGTCGTTCTTGTGTCGCCATGAAATGAAATTCACTCTCCCTGTATTACAGGTGTTCTTCGCAGCTTGCAGCGTGGGGCTGTTGTGTGATTGGATGCCCAGTGAATCTCCCAGCTCGCACCGAGATGATACCCTCTCCAGTGAAGGGTCTTTGCTCTGACGCAACTTGCCTTGCTGCCACTATGAGTTCGGCACTGTGATCGTGCTGCTTAATCGTTTTATTGCTGTGTAAACTCCGGTGAAGTGTTCAGCAGTGTTTGCAGTCAGAGTGTGCCATAACTGTCTCTGCTTGTGAGTGTCTGTCACTGATGACATCACCAGTTACTCCGCCTTGATGGGAAGTCGCTAGTGAAAAATCGCAAGAAAGCATGCGTTATAAGATGTGGTATCGCTGGGGCTTAGTTGTGAGTACCATAGCCTCATGCCTGCAGTGTCCCCCCCCCCCGTGCAGCTTTCCGTTGGGCTCTCTAGCTTCCTCCTGTAGTCCAAAAACACAACGCTGAAGTGAAGTGGTGTGTCTGAATTGCCCGTAGTGTGTGTGCCTGAGCTGGGCTGGCGTTCCATACAGGGTGTCCTCTGCCCTTTGCTTTCTGGCTTCAGGCCCACTTCAACTACTAAATGACATGCGGTAAATCTATAAATAACTTGGGAAAAAGCTGGAGGTCCAGAGTCGTACCTTTTGGAGGTTGACTCCTGAAAATTACACATTGGAATGCAGATCTGTGCACATCTCCCATTTAGCTCTCCTTTGAGACATAAACGTACAGATACAGACTGTCCCCGACTTACGTTCCGTTTCGACAGACAGGTCGTACGTTGAAATGGATGCATGTCGGAGTAGAATAATCACACTGACCTTTATGCGCATGAAATAGACTGGGAGGTGTGTGTGGGGCTGGGAGGGTCAGGCTGCTATACGGTGTGGTATTTTCCCACAAGGATTATCGTACTGTATGCAATGCACACTAGGTAGCGTAACACTGTCAAACATACGATCACCTGAAATATTACGTATGTTTAAAAAATGTCCAAGTTGCCCAAAGTCAAATGGGTAACAAGGGACAGTATGTATACAGTTGGGGTCTGGTCATCTATCCGCTGCCCCTGGAGTGTTTTGGGCAGGTAAGGGCCTTGTTCAAGGGCCCAACAGACTTGTGACCATTTTGCCGAAGCCGGCGATCGAACCAACAACCTTCTTATCCCTCACAGTGTTCAGTTGTTGAACCATTTTGCATCCAGATTTTTTCTCACACATTCAGCATAAATACAGTAATTCTAGTCATAGAAGATAATAAGGAAACCTTATTGCAGAGGGTCTCTAACTTACTCATGAAATATGTTTCTCCTTGGTCAATTCTACGAAGGAAGGAACTTCCTTAGCTGTCTCTGGCTTAGCTCTGTAGTCTAACCAGACTTTATTATCACGACTAAGGCTGTCAACAAGATAAGAGAGCAGCTATTTCACATGTGACCTACAAACTGGAAGTAATATGTTTTGTTTTACTTAATCAGAAGGTTTGATGTATGTTTTTCTGATTTTCAGGGTTACTTACGGGTATGTTCTTGCGTTACATATTCAGGCATTGATTTAGGTTTTCAGAGCGCCTTTGATACACGATAATCATCCCTGTTTTATGATGCACTTAGTGTGGTACACTTTAGAGTTTTCTCTTATTCCTTACATTTTTAACTCCTACTGGTACTACTCAATTAATATGTACACACACTCTTCCAGTCATTGAACCATTTGTTTGTTTGCTTTTTTGAAATCCTCATTTCATTAGAAGTAGGAGCTTGCAGGAGATTAGAGTATAAAACTGATTACTGAGCTGGTCATGCATTTAATTGTCCCTCTAAGTAAGCCCTGATTCTGTTACCATAGTGCTAGTTTTTTTTTTTTTGGCTGTTGTATTTTATTATTGGATCAAAGCAGTGGCTACGATGAGGATCGGAGTAAACAAAATGGTTTTTGCTGACCGTGTTTGAAACAGATGTGGAGAATCCTGCCGCAGAGCCCAGAGGGGTGAGGTGTTTCTGTGCCTGTTTATTTCTGGGGCATCAGGGTGTTTATCTTACTCTGTGAGGCGAGTATAAAATCCCACGTGGCACTGTATTTACACTTTGGCGTAAAAGCTGAAGAGACTGGTTTACACGCGGGGAGACCACACTGGACACCGACCCAGTTTCAGCACCCCTCTCTCTCCCTGGAAAGAGATCAAACTCGCAAGCCTGTTTCCTGACTAATCTATCAGTGCCTTGGCCTAGCGTCGGCTTTGTATGTCTGACACCTGAATGAATCTTCATCAGTTTGTATT